TATAAGTTGCTAAAACAAATTATTGAAACCTCATACTGCTTCTGGTTGTAAAGTGTGAGTATAGAAATCTTTGAAACAAATTTTAAAACATACTTTTTGAATTCTTTATGATTAAACGCAATTTCAAAACAACTACCTTATAACCACATAAAATTATAACGTTTTGATATAGTCACAAGTAATCATGTGGCTATATATCAAGTCCTAATATAGGCTAAGTCAAGAACTCTACAACTTGTTTTGACCAAAATGTTGTTGTAATCAAAATGTTTTGAAATAATATTTTTTATTTTTACACCCAATTTATAGATATTTAAGTATGTACTTCAAAAAATTTATCATGATGATTTTTGTTATGTCATGTACTTTAATTTGACTTTTCAAGCTTTGTAAAGTTTCATTTATATTTTTGTAAAAGAAAAATCTTCCAACTTTAGTTAGATATTTATTCTATAATAACCTTTTGCTTAAGTATGCAACTTGAATCTAAAAGTAATTTGCGTATTTAATCAATAGTTACATACTTTCAATAATCATAAAGAAGTATTGTCTCTATTGTTTGAATAAGATCACAAACATTAAGCATTATAGCACTGCATTATCAAGAATAAGCGCGTGATGTTTGCAGTGCAGATCAAATCCACCACAATAGTATTGAAGTCCTGCAAATATTCATATATAATGTTAAACTATGAGGCGTTTATCACGCTACTTCAACTCTCGAAAGTATCTTCTGACTTCTCACGATTAATCAACACGCTACTTCAAAAATTGCAAAATTTTGAGAATGTCAACTTTGTCAAAGATTTTTTCATTTTTCATGTTTAAATAGCACGCAAATTTGCAACTATATTTGAATTTTGATCATACAAGCCGACTTATGTGTTTGCGTGATTAGTAATTGTAACAATCTTTAGTTAGTTAGAACTAAAGTAGAGGTTATTCTAAATATTGATATATATACTTTAGTGTGCACTAGTCATAGCTGCCATGTCAACGATCTGCGCACTTGGTAGGTATAGAGTGGTTGTGTTAGTTGACAGTGTCACGTTAGCAATCCGCGTGCTTGTAGATAAGGATTGAGTGTGTTAGTTGGGAGCGCCATGTCAGCGATCTGTGTGCTTGTTAGGGTTATCCACCACGTCTACCATCCACTAGTAGTGGGATGGATAATATCTTATCTCCTTGTACTTGTTGGTGAGAGCTATATAAGGGAGAGTAAAACCATTGTTTGTATCTTTCATCTTCAAAGTTTACGTTTCCATCTTCGAGTGAGCTTTTTTCTAAACCCTAGTGTTACAGTAATGATCAAACTTTGCTTAGTCGTTGAATCAAAAGCCTATTATAAAGAAGTTGTATTTTTAAAAAAACCTAATATGTGGTGCTTCAAGAAGTATTAAAGATCACTGTTAAAACAACCTTATGGAAAAAATTTATATTGTCAAAATTCTACTATTAAAAAATGTGCATGGTCAAATAAACTTATGAAAGTTACATTGTCGAAGAATCGTGCAAAGTTGCATTGTTCAATTAACCATCAAATTTGCATTGTCAAAAAAAACCTCAAAATTGAAGATGGAGCATCAAGAAAACTAAACTATCAAAAAATATAAGTTATAACGTCAAAAAATTGAACGAGAAACGTTTCAATGAGTCACAACGATGCGATATCATTCAAAAGTTGAGTAAGACAAATGCTCTAATTAAAGGTATCTAACATGTGTGTACAATTTAAGTGAAAAACTATTGAAAGATTTGAAAACAAATATAGTAAATTCTATAGCAATTTGACTTATGTGTGATGAAGCTAAAGAGATTTATTTTTATACCTAGTTTGTAGTTTTACCAAAATATGAGACATGCTTTACATATGACTTGACAAAATCCATTAGTTAGTTTTTTTGATTTGCCATTGTCAAAACAAACAATATTGCATCAAGTATATTGATTTCATTAACTAAATGCAAGTCATTTTGGCAATGGTTAGTTAGATTCAAAATGCATCAAGGGTTGCAAAAGATGCTAATTCACAGAGCAGGTACTAAAATCATCAAAATTCTTAATGGATTGTTCAAAACTTTAGATAATCTTCACGCGAATATGGCCCACTATGATCGGTAAACATTTGTCATATGGACAAGACTAGCTTGTTTTTTCACATATTATCAAGATACAAACTTCATATGTCGTATGAAGACATATCAACAATTAGAAAGAACAAAATATTCAAGTATCAAATTGTGATAACTTGCAAATTATCTTATACATTTATCAATACACCAGAATCACAAGCATGTATTGAATATTATAAATGATATGCTTTGTATTACAGTCAAGTGAAAACTTATATGTATCTTAAAACAAGTTGAAAATTGTTCTCGAAGTGTTTTTTCCAAAGGTGTGAAAACAAACCAAAAAAAGTTATTTTAGCTTATGTACAATGTCTTGAATACCTTGAGGCTTCTGAACACATATTTTACTCCAAATTGCACAAGCTAGAAGCATTTGGGTAATATGTGTTTAGTCGCAGTTTTAAATAATAGGTTGGAATATCTATATCTCAATAATGTTTTATACTTATATGAATTGGATGATGAATCAAAACTTTAATTAAATGTAGAGATTGCAATGTGATGCTACTAGAGTTGCATGTGAAAATTTAACTCATTTGTTTGATATTACGAATTATCTCAAAGAAGCTTGACAATCTCTATGACCAAGCTCTATCAAAATGCATTTGTGAATGTAGAATCAATGCCATTGGGTTACCACCAACAAGCACTCAATGAGACGAAGTTTATAATGATATAAGTTGCACAAGCAATTGCAACTTTTTTTGTAATTTGACAATAAAAGCTTTAAAAATTATTAATATCAATAAACGAAATATTGAAATATTTGCAATTGCAATTCTAATAGATGTTGAAGAGCTTTTAAAGACCATGAAGATTACCTAAGAAAGTTTTGATGATGATATTACTACCATGCAAGATTTAGATTTGGATTTAGCAAACAACTTTGTGTTTACGGTATTAAAGTCACATCATTAGCAAATTGTTGATATTGATAGTAAATTGTTATGCTCATAAGTGAAAAAAATTTGTTTAAAATAAAAAACCCTCTAAGAAAACAAATAATATATTTAAGTGTATTGCTTCAATTTAGAACATAATAGGAATAGTTTTAAAAGATTGATTTAAAATTTGAATGTCACAATTGTAAACATAAATATTTAAATATGTGTATAGATAATTTTCAATTTTATTTCCCAGATCAATCTTTTCAACAAAAAATTCATTAAAATTATTTATTTTTCAGATATTATAATATATTAACATTAAATATATTATAATATGTTGATTGATCCACAAAAATATACATTTACTTCAAAGTCATGACAACATATTTCACACCATAAAATTTTAGTACAATTATACAAAATATAATATATTGTAATTGATATTATAAAATATTATATAAAATAAATTCTGATTATATACATATATTTGGATCTAAGATGTTTTAAATCATCATTTAAGTTTCAATATGTATTTAACATAGTAGAATTATAAAATAACTGTTTTTTTTCAATAATGAAAAACTATATATTATATATTATTTATAAAAGTGTAAAATATATATATATATATAATGAAGGTTGTGTTATTAAATTTAATTTGAAATATTTGAATTCACCTATAAAGTTTTAAAACCATTTATTTTGAAATTTTGTACAAAAAAAACAAATTACGTAGTCAAATAATTATAAATCAAATTTATCAAGCATATTTTCAAAAAAGTTCAATTTTCAATTTTTTAGAATATATATTTAATTTCGATTCAATTTATATTTTAATTTCTACAACTGTTTATATTCTCGTTGGAAATTTTGTATTGTACAAAATTGTTAATGCTTAAAAATTCTAAGATTATACAACATCATATTAAAAAATGATAATAATGATTGATATTTTATAATATTTACGCTACATATATTTACAAAAAGAATACATGGGTTTGAGTGATTACAATGCTAAATAAATATTTGATTCTTTCTTTCTAACTTGCAAGTGTAGATGATTAAAACTCAACAAAATTTATAATAAACATTTTTTTATAAATGTATTAAATCAATGAACATGATAACTTTATATAAATATATGCCTATATAAGATTAGGATTTCAACCGGAAAGATATTTTAAATCCATATATAAATTACAATAATGTTAATCATACACAATCACAAGTCATTGAAAACAAGGGAACATGTTTAGCTGTTTGTCTTCAACGCAAGAAGCACAAATTGATAATAACATATTATACTTATGATATATGAATTATATATATATATATACACACAAAAGAAGTCTAGGCATACCTTTAGATAAAATAAGTGCCATGAGAAAAAAAATGAACCAAGTGTGCTTCTTATTCAGAAGAATGCACCATCGCATCATTGGCCTTTAATAAGACAAGGAATAGCGTGATACATTTGTAGTCAATGTTCTAAAATTAGCATTATGATAAACTTTAAAATTATACTCGGATTGGTGAAAAAGAAAAGAATAATGCCCGATATTATGCCCGAAATTTGGTGTCATCGAATGTCTAATTTCTTGCTTGTACACATCTGAAAAGTTGGTATATATGCTATTATATTTATTAGTATAAATCGAAATTCGAATACTTAAATGGAAAACCTAACACAGTCAGAAAAGAATTTATGATTTATATTGAGGTACCGGGAAAAATTAACAATGGTCTGAAAAACTTTAGCAGTCAAATCGAAACTAAATGAGCTAAATCAAAATGTTGAACATGATTACATGGTATTGCAATATTGATGTAAGAGAGGGAACAAATAAGTCGAGAATGTTCTCCACAGCAAGCTTGACGCTGGATAGAAGAACATTCAAGCTACTCTCTCAAGCTCTGCAGGGTGCACCGAGTAAGTTCTGTTGGGTTTAGGGTTTGCTTCTTCAAAACAAGAATAGGTTCCTTTACAAGAAATTTCCCGCGAGAAGCTTCACATTGTTTCGAGCGAGGAGATACACAAGCTCGAGGGTGTTATTTGACAGCAAGGAAAGAAACCAAATTCGACGTACCTTTGACCAGATCGATCTGTCAGCAGGCCCGGAGAAGAGTTCGATCTATCCTTTCGAAACTTGGAAAAATGTCGGGGCAGACGGTAGATCTGCAAGGAGACCGGCAGACGGGCCAGGATGTCCGCACTCAAAATGGTCTGTATTTTGGTGATCTCTGGAGTTTCTGAGAACTTGGGCACGGGTTGACGATTGTAGCGATTTGACGACGAGATGGAAAGCATTAATTTAACTATGCATATACGAACGAAAGCTTGATGCGATGGATGGGCAAAAGCAGACGGGAAATGTGGTTCTATTCGCTTCTTAGCTCTGAACTGGATCGTTCACTTCAGCCAGGAAATAATTATCAGATAGTTAGGAGCTCCCGTTATTTATTCTGGAAGATTGAAAAATACTTGCGATCGGCTCTGTTTTATGAGTAGTTAGTTGGATCAGCTCTTGTCTTGAGCCGTATACAGCGTAATGGATTTTCTCTGTGTCTTCTTGTGGAATGACAACTCCCCATGTGTGTGCATCAGTTATGGCATGCCAAGCGCTGGCCAACATTGTAAAGAGCTCGTTAGGACCTGTGGGCCTCGATAAGGTGAAGATCTACTACCCAGTTTTCTTAATGCTACATGTTCACCGATGAAAGTCTCTAGTACTTGTCTTCTGTTTGTATCTCAATTTCATCTTCGTTGGTGCAAGCCATATGTATTGCCATGCCCAGAAATTGGATTAATCTAGCCACCCATGTTGGTGACGAATGTCAATTGCCGGCATTGCCGCACCTCGCTGGATACGTCAGATTTCTAAGCCCAAACTTACGGCTCATGAAAGAAATTATGTCGACCCCTTGTGGCTTTGCCGTATGGACAAGTCAGTGACAGTGAGGTTTCTTTGGTGTTGGGCTTGTTCGGTTTCCAGTAATTTTGAAGAGCCTACACGGGAAGTGCAAGCTTGAGGTTATAGGTCCTGCTCTGATTCTTGTAATGTCCACAAGATGGGAAAATTGATATTGGAACAAACACTTCCTAGGCTAGTAATGTTGCATGACGTCTAGATATCGTAGGCACAGCTAGTTGTGCCAACTGCATGCCATCACGAATATAATCGCACCAATTGGAAATGTGGATACTTCAAGAAGGAAAAATTTAGAGGTGGAATGACCAGTTGATTTTTCTATCCGTGTTTTATTGGAGCCTTGAAACCTTACACCGCTATATTCTCTCAGATGCTTGTGGATGACATCGGTGACGTAACTATCACGAATGATGGCGCCACCATTCTTAAGATGTTGGAAGTAGAGCATCCCGCCGCTAAGGTGAGTCCCGAGTATATGCTGTTGCTACTTTTGCAAATTTATGCCACTGCATCATGTCTCTGTTCACCAGTGCTTTGGTATCGTTTGTGTTCAAGACAGACTGATCAGTCAGTTGGTGGGCAACTTTGCTCAGTTATGAAACCAGTTTTAAAGGTTTAAGCTCACTGAGTACGGTCTACGTACAGGTTCTGGTGGAATTGGCCGAATTACAAGATCGGGAAGTTGGAGACGGCACAACTTCTGTTGTTATCATCGCAGCTGAGCTCCTGAAGGTGTGATCGTTAGAATTCTAGGCTACACTATCCCTTCCGCCACTGAAGCAAAAGTAAAGTTCGCTGCGTGCGTTCAAGAGCACCCTAATATGGTATTTAGCGGTTGGCGGGTCAAGGTTTCTTTGTGTATGCTTACGACATGCTGGATATTCTCTTGTAGCAACTGATCAACGGGACCATTTTTCTCTTGCAGAGAGCTAATGATTTAGTGAGGAATAAAATACATCCAACATCCATCATCAGTGGATACCGAGTGAGTTTCTATAATCCTTGGACACTAGCATGCTTCTGTTCGTAAAATGTTTATTTAGCCAGTGAACCATGTTGTCATGCTATTCTCGTTTCCGGAGTATAGAGATGAAGTTAGTGAGAATAGCACTTACAAGAAATTTTCTTGTAGATCAGGTTTGCAGTATTCATTGTCAGGTTAGAGATGAGTTACAAGTGTCATTAATCTAATGAAGGTTTATGCGCAAAATATGATTTGACTGGAAATGCAGCTAGCAATGCGTGAGTCCTGCAAGTACATCGAAGAAAAACTTGCGACGAAGGTATGTGATAATGTGGATCTCAACCTTGGTGGAATTATATCACGGCGATAAGAGCTTGCATCAATGGTTACATGATATACTATTACATAGTTCTTGATGCTGGAGAGACGAGATTGTTGGCTTGGAATATTTTGCAAGCATCCATTGTCTGTGAATCGGATTTTATGTCTACATGGCTTTTTTCTTTCGATCACGAGTGGCAGGCTCGTCAACAGATTTTCCCCTTTGACAAGGTTACGAGTTCTGTTTGTTTCCTGTTGGACAACATTCGAGTTGTTCGCCATCTTAGCCTTCGTTTTACTTATGGTAAGATAACGCGCCATGTCTTTTTCAGGTTGAGAAGTTGGGGAAAGAGTGTCTCATCAATGTCGCGAAGACTAGTATGTCTTCTAAAATTATCGGAACTGACAGTGACTTTTTCTCTAAAATGGTAAGGAGCCCTAGTACTTGCGTCTTTTTATGCAAATCAACCGTTCCCGCTTATCCAGTTAAGTTTTTGTCTAGCTTTAATTGAAGTCTGCGCAGCTGTTCCGTAAGTACGGCTCTTATCGACATGGGTGTAAATGTTACCTTATGCTGCAGGTTGTCGAAGCCGTTCTCGCTGTCAAGACAGTAAACGATAGAGGAGATGTGAAGTACCCCATTAAGGTCTGGTTTTACTTATTTTACATGTGCTCGATAGATATCTAGAGCCTGTTGTTGGTCCACTATCGACGTCACAAATCCAGGAATCTAGTTCGTGTATTTATACAGTGGATTAAATGTAGCTGTATTTTCCGTCTCTTGATTCAGATTAATTATATTGTCAGTCTATAATGGATCGTCAGGCTCAATTTTACTCATCTTTTCGAAGGATGCTACTTTCACGGGGAGTCTTGACGGCTTTGTAACGATTTTTTGATTGTGGATTCTTCACCTTTTTTTTTTTTCACAGGCGATCAACGTCTTGAAGGCCCACGGTAAGAGCGCACGAGAAAGCTACCTGCTCAATGGGTATGCGTTGAACACTGGTCGGGCTGCCCAAGGAATGCCGAAGCGTGTTGGTCCAGCCCGTATTGCATGTTTGGATCTGAACCTGCAAAAAATGAAGATGCAGATGGGAGTACAAGTTCTCGTAACAGACCCGAGGGAGCTGGAAAAGATTAGAGATAGGTCAGTGGATCAGTCTTCTCTTAGAGTTGATGACGTGTTTTAGGTTTGTGCTATTATGTGACTTATTTTGTACCTGTCCCTTAGTGCTTACACTTCATTCACTTGAGCAGGGAGGCAGATATTACCAAAGAACGTATCGAGAAGCTCTTGAAGGCCGGAGCAAATGTCATACTCACCACCAAGGGTATCGATGACATGTCTTTGAAGGTGATTACCCGAGTGCCCGTATAGAATACATCCAGGCTGGGTTCTTTGATTGTTGTCAAAGTTTCTTTTCCTTAATAAGGCCTTACTTATTCCTTCCATTGATGCATCGGTTAAGAGGTTCACGATTGTCCTTGGTGCCCAGCATTTGTGTTGAGCTTAATAGGTATAGTTGACTTACAGTCCTGGAGCCTCCACGGTGGCACTACGGATTCTGCCTTGTTATACTGCAGTTTTGGCGACCGGATATTGAGTATGTAGATAGCTAGGCTCATGACCAATATGCTAACGAGAAGTACTGATCTCAGCTGTAGGCGACTGAATAACTCGCTCACTAATTGTCTTGAGGAACGCTAACATTGTTAGAGATCGACATGGGTCATTGCTTTTCTTGTAGTATTTCGTGGAAGCAGGTGCGATCGCCGTCCGTAGAGTACGGAAGGAAGACATGAGACATGTTGCCAAGGCAACTGGTGCCACTCAGGTACGTTTCTTAATCGATTGACGTGGACAATCAAATCAGCTTGTCGTCAGTGAAATGCCAGCTTACAGATAGGGTTGTGGAGTTTTCAGTTATGTACTCTCTGCTGTACTGGGTGTGTGTTGAATTATTCTGAAGGTGACCGAATCTTCGTCTTTAATATGTAATGCAACGACTTGCTTTCTTTGGTCTCTAACTATAAGGCGTTTTGCAGATCCTCACATTTGCGGATATGGAAGGTGGAGAGACTTTTGATGCCTCTTTCCTTGGACATGCGGAGGAAGTTGTAGAGGAGACTGTAGCCGATGACGATGTCCTACTCATTAAAGGAGCGAAATCCTCTAGAGCGGTAAGTCCCGCAACGACATTAGTTAATCCTTTTGTAGGAAGTTGAAAACTACACAGAGATTTCTCTAGAGCACGCATAAAGGAAAGAATAACGTGGGAGAATGTCTTTTGTTTTTGGCTCCGCGCAAAATCCGAATTGTTTCACGAATGACATGGCTAAAAATTTTCGCAGTTGACTTTACCATTTACGGTAAAGTCAAGGTTGGAGCCACGTCCAGTCGATACTTAGATGTGTATATAATCCAATTAATTTTTAATCAAGGTGCTCTGCTCTTCAGGTTTCCATCATTTTGAGAGGAGCAAACGACTACATGCTGGATGAAATGGAGAGATCTTTGCACGACGCTTTGAGTATTGTGAAACGTACTTTGGAGTCAAATATGGTGTTGTGACTTTCTCTTCCACTATTTTCTCTGTCTCAAGTGACCCAATTTCTTTCATAAAATATTGATTGCTTTAGTCTCAACGACACTCGTATAAATGGATGGTGTAGATTTCTGTGCATCATCGCTTATCGTTGGATCTTCAAATTAACTTCCTAGCGTCGTGTTCTCTTTACTTCTATTCGCAGGTCGTAGCTGGAGGAGGCGCTGTTGAGGCAGCTTTGTCTGTATATTTAGAAAATTTAGCGACTACCTTCGGATCTCGCGAGCAGCTTGCAATTGCTGAGTTTGCTGAGGCTCTTCTCGTCATTCCGAAGGTCTTGGCAGTGAACGCCGCGAAAGATGCAACCGAGCTAGTTGCCAAGCTCCGAGCCTACCATCACAACGCCCAGACAAAGCCGGACAAGGCACATCTTGCAGCGTAAGATTTGTATTTGAGATGGAAGTCTAGTTGTACAAAAACGTTATCTCAAAGGTCGCTGTTGGATGGAATGCCAGGTCTGGCGCTAGGAGCCGGTACCCGATGTACACGAAACATTGGACACATATTCCCATAGCCTATGCTAACAAAGGATGGTATCTTATTTCTGCTACAGATCTGGCCTTGATCTTATCAAGGGAGTTGTGAGGAACAATCTCGACGCGGGAGTAATAGAGCCTTCGATGAGCAAAGTGAAGATTATCCAGGTAAAACATGTGGCCCATAAATTATGATGTCCCTAACTTCCAAATCGTGTGGCTTCAAACAGATAGACATTCTATTTGAGCTTCTTAGGTAGTTGTTTCGTACACCGCATCTTTATATCGTGCCCTGGTAGCTCGAAGAAACTGACGTTGTTGAGGAAATATTCCTTTCATTTTTGTTGTTTGTTCAGTTTGCAACTGAAGCAGCTATCACGATACTGCGCATTGATGACATGATCAAGCTCTACAAGGAGGACAACCAAGGGGAAGAGGACTAGACCTAACGTAGAAGTGTCCGTCGGTTCAATTGGAAACATATATGAAGGGGTGCGCCTTTTTATTGCCACCAATCTTCCCCCCTTTTTGTAGTGTACTTCTTAACTTCATATCTTAGCAAGCAAATAGGATTATCGTCATTCTTTCTATTTACAGTGGTCACGGGTGAGTGTTTCATATTTTCGAAGATCAGCTATCCAACACAAGAATTTCAGCAGGCAGATGTGTGAAGAACTTCTGAGTTTTGTCCTCTGCCCAACCGGCATGGTCCCAGGGAGTTCTGCTGTGGCCCCCCATTCGGGTGCAATTTATGAAGACGGAAGCCATCGTTGGCGTGTATAGTACATCACTCTTTGGTTCAGTGACATGTTTGTAATTGGACTGTATATGTAATCTCTTTCATCGTGTTTTCTTGCTGCGTCGTTCTATCTAGATTGTTCATTGGTTCGTCAATACCTGACACGTGAACAGCACAGGTGTGTTGTTGAGATGAAGATTCATGAGTGAGCGCTCACTCCAATGGATCTTAATCATTTCCCTCGGTACGTTTAGAGATACACTTACTAGATTGCTCTTTTCAATCCCTTCATCGCTCGATTACCTTGAACAAGTGAAGACCCGGTCTTGATCGAAGAAAAGGGTGGAAATGTATTCAGCAATTTTCCTATCGAAGAACAAATATATTCTGAAGTGCATGTCTGTCTCGACACCGTATGTTCTCAAATGGTGTTAAGTATCCGAGGCCTGGAATTCTGCAGGAGAGTAAACTATCGATTCCCGAGAAGGTTAGGATAGAGGGCGTGCATTCCGAACTTAGAGAACACATCTGAAGAAATTGCATACATGGTCAGACGGAGTGCACTTTCATGTGCATAATCTGAAGCACCCATCTACTTAAGTGTTGTGAGGGTAGCCTCTTTGATCTCACATTAGAGAAACTCCTCTTTCCAGGCTGCAGCTGCGGCGGATGCCGATGTGTGCTCTCGAATTGTCTCCAGCCCTCGCGGCGCACCGGTGGTGGTCAGATAGAAAACGAATCTCGCCTGTATGATGAAGAGTCAGACGATATTAGCAAGCTCGAGCCTTTACTTTTACGAACACTTTGAGTAGATATTCCTCTGGATCCACAACTCGAGTCGTCCAGTCTTTGCACAGAGCGACGAAGCCAACCGAGCCCAGCCACCCACAAATGCCCGCTTCCTCTAAGTCTGTAGCTTACAGATGACCTCAGCTGACGAGTGCATGTCCAGCTCCAAGCACTAATAATTAGCGTTCTAATACGGAACGGAAACTCCCTCGTCCTGGTGCTTTAGGTTTCAGCCCAGTAGAGGATTTGCCAAGTGAGAAGAGCATCAGAGTTGCTCTTCTCTCTTTTCAACTGCGAACGTGTAATCGGACGCCCGTACAGTCTCGATCTTGGGGTCGTCAACTCGGGGTTCAACTGGCTGGCCTTGGATATAATCCACATTCTGGAGTGTACTCTCCGGTCCACACTATTGCCGGGGCATGCCAACTTCGAACGAGCACGTGTGATGCAGTAGGCAAATTTTGCAAGTTGGATTTTCATATAAGTGAACAATATTGAAAATTATGATTTATAAAATAAATTTAAATAATAATAATTATTTTTATTATACGAAGAAGAGATCTAGAACAAAAATCTAGAAAAATACATATAATTGAATATAATACTATATTTGATTGGTGAATGTTTTAGTTGGATAATTATTTTCAAAGATGCATTATTTAACCAACAACTGAAATTAGATATAGCAAAAACATACGCAGCAAAGAATTTAAAAAATAAATAAATTTATCACCTAAATGTGATTGAAATAGTTATATAAATGGTTCAATAGAGTAAAGGGTTTGAAGAAATATATTTCTTATGTAAATCAACTTAATAACAATTGGAAAACTAGTCATTAAATTTTTGAAATTTGAATATTTATGTATCAAGAGCTTTGAATCTAAGTGAAGTTTGTAACCATATTAACTTAGTTAATATTGAAATTAAAAATTATTGAAAATAAAAATAATAGTAGACAAATTATAGTTAATACTTTAGCAATCAGTGTTCTTGATAGATACAAATTGATTGTGTATATTAAAAAATACACCTCACCAATTCTTGATCGGTAAGAATGGTATGCGTAGAAACACACTCCATATTATATTTCTGGAGGTGTCTCTACAAACATTTCGGCAATATCATAGGTAAGATTTGTGCACAAGTTTTGCTCTCCCACTGATTTTCTTCAGAAACATAAATGTGTGATTGACATGCTGGCAAAGATTTTAAAGTATTTGTACTCGTGAAAATTGTATGGAAGATTTTGGAGAGTTTTATATGGCATGAAGGTCTGAACATGTGCTTGTACAATGAATAATGGCATTCTAACCTCTTCAAAATCCTAACTTGTCAAAATTCCACAACGAAGGCCTTTATTCATGCACTTCTCGCACACCCATGCATTCCCACTTTTTTCTAAACTCACGTATTTCACCTGATACAACTTGAAGATTTCGGAATAGCGATTCTGAAGCTGAGGCGCAAGAGTTTGCTGAATCCTCAACCAAGCCTCTTGCAGCTCCTTGCTTTCCCCACCTTTTAGAACTGCCCTACGATCATCATCACTTATACCGTCTAGTTGAACAATATCAGATTTTAAATCTTCCCACTCCGGAATCGCTTGGCCCAACCCCATCGTCTTCTCTAGTCCAGCCTTCACACCATAATACATCACTTTGTATGAGATTTCAATAGTATTACGAATCCAGGAGCAGTTCTGCCGATCCAACCGTATCTTCAAACCTTCTTGATCTTTTACCGGGTGAAATCCAGTCACATATTCACACATCAAATGTAAGCGAACGGTTGTACCGACATGAAGAAGTGCACTCATCTTGTAGAAAAGTCCAACATTGTCCGTAATGTAAGGTCGCTTGGGCGTTCTGGCCTGCTGAAGCACTTGCGAATACTCAATTCTCCTGTCCAATTTAGACATGAAATCACTCGTAGTTGACTGGAGTTCTTGCTGCAAAGAGAGTATCTGTCCCATCTTCATCTCCAATCTCTCCATAATGCTGTGCACTAATCTCAACCTCTCATCCAAATCATCAACCTTTTTTACTAGCTGATCTATCTTCCACAAAACAAGTTGGGTCAAATGATTTTCCACACTTGTGCTGGCCCGACTCAAGCACCTGGATGTAGGTGGTTTGCAGTCTTTCATTTGGGAGAAATTGGAGTCGCTAACCATGTCTTCATCTTCAGGGTTTGACGGAGCCAAATCATTGTCCACGCTAATTAGACCCTCCTGCAATAACTCCAATTGTTGAATTCGTTTTTGTCGAATCTCATTCACAACTGCTTCCACATCGCTTTCCCACAACAAATCCCTAGCTTGTTCAGATATTCCACCTGAATGCCTTTCAATTTGGGGCCAACAGTGCTCATAGTGGAACAACTCTTCCTTCTCCACCAAGTGCGAGCTTTCCAATGGCATTTCATCAAGTTTGTCATCGATGCTTCGCATGAAGTCCAATTTCAGCTTCTCGATCAGAATAGCTCCTCTGAGATAACTCGGAATCAACATCTCCACGCAATAAGTTTGGATCACACCAAGCACTAAATCCACCCCGGGACAACCTTTCGGTGATGTGCAAAATGATATCAACTCCTCGACAATATGATTCATCACATATTTAACCGCCACCTCCCTTGACTTATGCCTTGAGCATAACATCAGAACATCTACGTATTTGTGGGACTTTTCACTCTGAACATGCTCCACATATATCTGATGTCCATCAAGGAAAAGTCGCAGATAATGTCGAGAGCAAGTCACAGTCTCCTCGGAAACATGCATCTCGGATATCAACTTGCGTCTCATGAACATCTACAATGATGAAAAATTTGTAAATATTGAGTTGGACATCCGAATAATTTACAATAAATAAGAAGTAATTGGTTCTTTTCATCGTAAGAAAATTACAATCACAAATTGAGGCATCTAGTATTTCCAGAATGTATATGAAATCATGATTCAATCTCACCTGGAAGCGTGGGAAAAAAGCAGCAGTGAGTGACATTGTTCTTCCATCCTTACATTGAATCTGACAGCCGACAAACTGTGAAGTGTCACTCCTATTTTCCCAATACATCGACTCCACGTGCGCCCCTTCATGATGCTTCTTTTCTTCCATGCTTGCATGCTCAGGGATGAAGGAAGGAATGAAATACTGAGAAGTATCTTCTAGCTTGAAACACAAATCTAAATTGACAAGAATGTTTTCAAGCACCTCTCTGGCCACACCTCTCTGTCCATGTGATTGCTTTCCCAGAAACTTTTCTATCAATCCAACAAAGACACTCTCACTCACAAATCCGTCCTTGCTTGTATATGAGTCATTTGACATCATGTTATCAGCAGAATCTTGAGCTTGAAAATGTTGACCTAGAGCTACTAGCTCACCCAAGAAGTTATTGGTGAGCCAGTTTGGATCAACAATGATGTAATCAAGGTTGGGGATGTATATGATGGACCCTACGTCATTCAAATAGGATATGATAGAGTCCATTATCCTTGAATGATCAACAGAGTGAGTAGAAGATGATGAAATAAATTGTGTTAAACTGGGAGCACAGAAATCTTGAAACTTTTGGGATGACCAGAGAGGGTAACTTTTGTTCTTCTTGGTGTTTTTAACCAAGAGGGAAGCAAGCTGTGAACACAATTGAGGAACTTGTGGAGATTTTTCTCTCAACAACTTGTCAAAATTATCAAAAATGTAATTTCTGAGAGGAAAAACTTGCTTCTTTTTTTGAGCATCAACATGAAAACACTCTTGAATAGGGAGGAGATCCACAAAATTTGAGAATCTTTTGGTGAGTTTGTCAACTATGGAGTGAGCCCAAGTCAAAGAGCTAATTCTGGTTTTATCCTTGTGTGAAATCACTACAAGAACTTGGGGAGGATTATATCCAGTGATCTTAGTGCTGGATGTAATGAAACTCAGCCAGTACTCCAACTCCGTTCTAAAACAAGAATCCGGTTTGTTTGAAGATGTTTTCTCACTGAAGGGACTATACACAAAAAGAATAACACAAAAATGGTTGGTTTGAGGGAGAAGCACATTTTGAAGCGTACGAAAAATCCATTGACCTGCAAGATCCCAAACTGAGATTTGCATTTTGTCATTGTCTTGCAACAACTCCACTTCAATTCCCTTCGTTCTCCACAATGCCTCCCATTTGATCAATAGACTGCTTATGCTCACATAGCTATTGCCTCGATTTATCCTCATAAGGGTTTTACGCAATTGAGTCTTGCCTGCACGTTGGAACAAAGAATCACATTGATATGATATTCTTTAGACATGATATTATTTCCAATATGTGAAGATTTCATTAGAAAATGCAGAAATCATCAAAAAAATTGAAGTTATATGATTAGTAACTTAAAATTTTAGTTATTTTTTCTTTCCGCTACTATTTGTATACACAGAACAATAAATCTAAATCAAAATAGCATTTGTTGTGACAATCTTTGTTTTAGAAAGTTAAAAGTATAGATTGCTAGTTTGCTTACATTGAGGGAAAAACTGAGAATATACAGAGCATCTTACCTGCTCTAGTAGAGCCGCATAAGAAGAGTCTACCAGCTTTTGCATCTCCAAATGGTAATTTGGCTTCTTTGAACACAGACATATAGATTGCCCGCTTCTTGTTCAGCTTGAGGACCTCTTGAATCTGCGCTCCCTTTCCGTCCATTTCCCACGAGGTTCCTGAGACATCTACTTCCTCGAGGGTGAAGTTCACATGCAGGAGCCTCATCAGGTCCCTGAACGCCTCTTCGTCGAGATCGGCCTCAAACAAACTCAAGTGAGTGAGACTTGTGTTCCCTCGCAAGCACCGAAGCAGGTCCTTCCATACTCCCTTCAAGAGATTTTCGCTTCCAATCAATAATTGCAGTCTCTTCAGGACCGAAGTTTCTCCAGATTTTCCATTCATGGACAGGATACTTTCAATTCTATCTTGGTTGGTAGCTGAAATGCGAGTATTACCCGCAAGTATACTGAAAGATTTTAGAGATTTGATTTCGCCGCGCAGAACCCTACCCAGTAGGTTTAATGATAACATCAACGTATGGCCCCTCCAAATGCTGAGTTCAAGCTCCACTTTGGGGTCCTTGTCATCAGAGCTAGCAGCGCACGCAAGAGCTTCTACTGACTTCCAGTCATCTCCATTAATCGATAAAGAAATCCCTACAATTGCTATAGCATGGTGACGTATGACTTCGCCGAGCTGGTGCCATTCCTCAGGACTCATCTCCAAGTCATTCAACCTCACTTCCTTCAATAATCGGTTGGAAGTAAGAAGTTCCCCTACACAGTCTCCGATTCTATCCATATACCACAGCTGAAGACGTTCGATGGATCGGTTGCCATCATCTCCGGCCAAAGCTTTCAGCAACAATGCCGCTCCCCACTTCACCCCATATAACTCCAATTCTTTCAAGGACGAACTCTGGATCAGAGCCTGGGACAGGATTCCAACGGTCTCGTCCTCTATGTCGTTCTGATAGCCGCGTAAACGCAACGTTTCTAATAGAGGAGCACTATTTATCGTGTCAGCCACATGCTTCACTGCGCTCACGTCCTCCCACGCCTTAATTAGTTCTAACTCTTTAAGCTTAGAATCAGAATTTCCTCGCAGTCCTGAGGCGAGATTCAAGAAACATCTGGCACTCAATGGGCAACTGTTGATTTTCAAGTGTGTTACGCTAGAGGTACTCAGAATTCTCCCCAGCTGTAAACACAAGCTCTCCACTTCCGTATCTGAATTCCATCTCAAATGTTCAACGCTTATCTCTCGTAGAACGGTGCTGGACCTCAATCCTCTCAAAACTAGATCCCTCTCGCTAGCCGTCAAGCTCGATACATCTCCGCCACAAAGTTTTTGCACCTCCAAATATTCAAAGGTGTTGCAGTTGCCGATTGCCTCCAGCACTCGAAGACGCACCCCTCCCATCCAGAGCGTCGAGAGCGATGCACAATACGGAAAGAACTTTCCGAATAAATATGGAAGCCTCGTTATAGGCTCGCCTTTTCCTTCCAGACGCTGTATAATGTCCTCGAACTTGCGAGGAAGCTCTGGTTCCTCCTTTGACGAGTCCATTTTCCGTGTCGTAACTTCAATAGCGATGGACGCACGACTGACGATGGACGCACCTGCACCTTCCATTCTCTTCTCCACCCTCACTCACAGAGAAGGAAACGTTTGCTGCTTCGATTGAGCGAACGGAAGAGAAGGGCCGGATCCAAAATTTGTGAACTTCACTTTGTAGTGTCACAACTCGTGTGCATGTGCTTGCCGGGCATGAGAATTCTTGCGCGGTGCAACAGCCGCTCTGCGCAGAGTACTCCAGGCTCTGCACATAAGGTAGTGATTGCTCATCAACACAGGTAGATTGTTACTCGAACTCTAAGGACAAGCGATGTGAATGAAAATGAAGAAAGATAACCAGGATTACCGTTCCCAGCGAAATAGTAGACTCTGAACTTGAACTAGCTCTGCAGTTGAATCTGAAATCCAAAAGAAAAGTTTGTGGCAAAGATGGTGAGATATGAATGCATGATATTATATATATATATATATATATATATATATATATATATATATCAGATGGGAAGTACCTTGAGTTGTGTAAGAACTGGATGTACAGTTGTAATGGGTTGAATCTAGCTGCATCAAGACCCACGTGAAGACACTCCGATCGATGGGTATGGCGTGGAAAAAACATGCAGCGTCTTCAATCAGATCTTGTCATTGAGTCGTGTGAGCCATCGAGGTAACGACGACATGCAAAAACATGCTAAAACGAGAAGCGTGTTCCTCCATGTTCTGTTATTGGAAAATGGTCTTAAAAAGTCAGATCTTGACTTTGTTGTGCAAGCCAACAGAATATGTGAGTCACACTGATGCATTCAGTGTGATGATACACTCGATGTAGTACCGCTGACAACGAAGAATTCAAAGGTTTATCTCCATTGAATCATTTTCCTGGAATATTTCATCTATACTCGATGTAGTACCGCTGACAACGAAGAATTCAAAGGTTTATCTCCACTGAATCATTTTCCTGGAATATTTGATCTATACTCGATGTAGTACCGCTGACAACGAAGAATTCAAAGGTTTATCTCCATTGAATCATTTTCCTGGAATATTTGATCTATTCAAGCAAGTGGATTTATTCTGACAACGGAGTGGCACATGCGCTGTCAGCCTGGTTGACAAAGCCTATTGTGCTTTTTTTCTTGCTTTGAATATCGGAACAGGAGTCTACATAACTCTACATAGCTTGTAGCTTGTAGGTTCAGAACAAACTGATAAGCTATTTGGGAGTTTACTAGACATAATGTTGAAGAGCTTTGAACATAGTAGAAGAGTACTCGAGGTTCTCGATTGCTGATATGAATTTTCTTCTAGCTCTACTGTCAAGCATGTGAGCACATACACAGTTCTTGTTTCAGAGTCTGGAGGTCTTCACACCTCAAGCTTGAAATCGAAATCGAATTTTGTCCTTGCTACGAACACTCTAGCTTGTTTATCGCGTCGTATAGAAGTCGATAGAACCAGCATGATACTTGAGGTCACCGTCAAACCTCTCAAGAAGTTACATTTTTCGAACTTGCTTGCAAGTGAAGAGCGACTGTGCTGTACTGTACAGCACAGTGAGTCACTACTGCAAAATGATGTAACATTTTTTCTTAACAACAATAACATTTGGTTACCAGGTGAAAGATCCACTTAACTATTCTGCCTATGAGACGAAGATATAGAGAAATTTTATTGTGAGCCAAGTTCTCTGCGTGATCGATACCATGGTGACCTATGATCCATTAGCGGTAAATCGCCTATAAAGAAGCCGGCTCGACTAAGTCGTAGCCCGGAGCCGGCCCGACCCCTAATGATTCATGAGTACGAGCAAGAGTTTAACTCATGAGCAGAGTTAAATTCTTGCCGTACAATTTACTTGCATCAATCTTGATGGTGGATCTATATAAAAGAGCCCAAGCGCCAAAATTCAAAAGCAATTGAAAAAGCTGAAAAAATATAGATAGTTTTATTTCAGTAAATTGTTTCATATATCTGAGTTTACATATAAGGTTACACCAGACCTTCATCTGAACTCACATATAACTGCACTCTAGCATTTAGCATCACAAGTATGTTCTAAGTCATGTGTACAGCTAGCCCGGCTCGAGCCGCTAGTACATGGAGCCGGCTCAGCTCGGAGCGATCGCCAAGAAAGAAGCCGGCTCGACTAAGTCGTAACCGAGCCGGTCTGAAGCCGGCTCAGCCGGGCCGACCCCTACTTACAGCGGTCGGCCCGGCTCGGTTCAGCTCGGCTGGAGCCGTTAGTACATGGAGCCGGCTCAGCTCGGAGCCGATCGCCATGACAGAAGCCGGCTCGACTAAGTCGTAGCCGAGCCGGTCTAGAGCCCGGCTCCGAAGCCGGCTCGACTAAGCGCGGCTGAGTCGAGTCGACTAAGTCGACTCCGGAGAGCCGGCTCCGGAGCCGCTCTCGCAGAGTCGAGCCGGCTCCGAAGCCGGCCCGACTAAGTCGTAGCCGAGCCGGTCTGAAGCCGGCTCCGCCGAAGCCGGGCCGACCCCTTAGGTTGGGTTGTTCATTTTACATCATCTTATAATTTGTACAACTAGAAATTGTTTATCATACAAATTTTCACTCTCTGCTTGTACTAAACTCACGCCGGTTCACTCCACTGGAGACAGTGAAGATACTAGGCTTGACATTTTTTGTGTGGTACCTTTGTTAGCAAATACTATGCACAGGATATGATATTAAACATGAAATTTATCCTATACAATTTAAATATACAGTTAAAAAACCAAATTTTTTTAATCTATGTATATTGATAGTATGCCTAATAAGCACACAAGACATTGTATAAAAATGGGAGAGATTTGCTTGATGGGACCCTGCGGAAAGTAATTTGCTTGATGGGACCCTTCAGGTTTCATTTTACCCGATGGGACCCATGAACGATGCACCGTCACCCATGTTCTAATAACAACTAGAGAGAGTGCAACGAGTCCACCGCACCCGCAAACAGAGTGGACTTCGCACTCCATCACACTCACTTGTTTTTATGTTGTCATTCTGTATCCGGCCACTCTCCAAGGAAACGAGCAAAGAAATGTTCATCCGGAGTTTATTTGTTAGTTACAAATGGGTGATCGCGAGACTTGAACTCGGACCACGCAGGGTTACGGAAGGAGTGTGCATGTGGGAGGCAACAGAGAAATCCGTGAATCTTTACTATCGGAAGAATTGAAGCACAACAAATTGCACTTCGAGCAAAATCAATCTTTGTCCCCGTGATAATCCACTAGAAATTATAATCAGGGATTGATCTCTGATTGTAATTCTTGCATTGTAACTAGTAGTAATCGTAGTTACAAGAACTATGTCCGACGGCACACCGTCGTTGGGGTCCCATCAAGTAAATTATTTTCCGCAAAGGTCCCATCAAGCAAATCTCTCATAAAAATGGTAAACCTAAATATTACAATAGATTACACGTTTCAACTGCAAGTCTCAAAATTCAAATCAAGTGAATTGAGAATAAAAAACATGTGAGATAAATATTTTTTTTTCAAATTCTCATTCCTCTCTTGCTTTGATTCGGGATGAAGAGTGCTGCTAAGCATTACACGCAACCAACCATTAGACATTTCACTTCAGCCATTGTTCACTTAAAAAGTTCATAAACATGTCTTTGTAAACTCTCGGATCGAAGTGGAATATATTGGCATGTATTTAGGCTGCGTACGGGCTCTACAGAGACTCCAAGAGATTTTTGCTCGAAGTAATATGGGCGAAGCTGATCTTAGTAAGTCCCACTTGACGTATGGGGAGAATGATCGGTTACCAACAAGAATTCAAACATGACACTGTCGTCAGCACAATGTAAGTTGGTACGGTCCACGAAAATAAAAGCAGACCAGAGAACGGTAATTTTTCCTTTTGTTCAAAATATTAAAAACTGAATTATATACCACATAATCGCACATATCTTCTTCAATCTGTTCGCTGCAGCATGTCGTGTCGTCATTTTTCTCGGTTTGTGCTAATGCTAATCTTCTCTAAACAGGGGCCATGTTAATCTTCTCTGTATCGTTCCAATTTTATCGAAGGGACTAGTAGGGTCATAGTAGAACTCACAATCTCGATTTACTTCGTATTTGTGAGCAAAACTTTCTATAATTCTGTACATGAACAATCCGTGGCTACCAAGACTGTTTCAACAAATTGTGTGATAGATCCTTGTTATTAATGCACTTGTCTAAGCTTATCAATGAACATTAATATACGTTCAAACTTCGAAATATTAGAAATAATTATCTTTTTTCTCAAATACGTAACAGAAATAATTCGAATCAACCACATAGGATTCCGGACCGTGACAAAAATGACACGAGATATATTTTGTAACAGAAGTTTTAGTGATCCAACTTTATTTCTTTACAAAAGTGTTGAAGACAGTGCAATTGGGAAGGACGAAAATCTTAAAATAATGAAGAAAAAAGAAAAAAATATTTCACACGTTTGTCGTGACTGCAGTTTCGAAGGTGCACATCTGACTCCAGGGATGGGCAAGCCTTGCTACACATTGCTGTGTGACGAGTGACATGAAGGTGACGCACTATCCTCCTCGTCCACTCAGCCCAGAGGTTGCACGGATTTTCAGTGGCTGTGGAAGGAGTCAAGGGTGGACAACCCAGAAGATATCCTCCATGGATACAGGAAATGTGCCCTCCCATGCACGGTCCCATTCAATCTTCGATGTTTCTGAACGGACTCTGAGCAGAAGATTCCTGATCCGTCCAGGCACAGTGTTGCAAATCTACCCAAAGAAGCGCAGAGTTCATTGCGCTGCTTGGAGTCGTGAAGACCTCGGATCAGGATCAGGAATCTTCTGATGAATCAAAATTTACTAGCAAACTCTCTGTACATCCAACAGATGTAGTTGCTGGATGTAGAATTGAATCCATCAGTGGAAGAGCACCGTTCATTTACATGAATTCCACCTCGTCAGATATCGGAAGTCAAGATTTCTTTTCAGTATGTCGAAGACCATCTGCTAGACCCAGGATCCATCTCACCATTGATTGTGCAGTTCTAAGTCGGGAGAACGTACGAAATATTGTTCATTTGATCTTGACAGAGAAAATTGTTGACAGATATATTTATAAGTCGGATGACTAGCATTTTCCTTCGAGAGATTCGCTAGCCATCAACAGAAAATGAATACATAACCGGACTTACTGGACAGCGGAATAAGATCGTATGGAAATCTGCAACGTCCGATATTTTCTTCAGACGTCCAACCTTTCGTTGCAGAGAACATTTAAGGACACCATCGATGTCCCGTTCTAATGTTTGAGCCAAGTATCATGAGAGAGATCCGCTCTTCCTTTATTTTGTGGCTATCTGCATCGTTAATTTACAGTGGGTTTTGCCATCGTTCCATTCTTTCAAACATCATGCGGCCGACGCTGGTACCTGACAGTTATGGAAAGCTCATCAAGTATCAATTCATAGTGATGAAAATCAGCGTCTGTCAATGAAAATCGTAACGAAGTGCATAATCTTTGTGGGTCACTAGATATCCAGAGAGAATGTAGACACATCACCAATATGCTCACGAGGAGTATGGATCTCCGCTGTATATTTGAAACTTTCTATGTACAATGACTTTTGTGTGATAATGTATGAAGCCTCCCCGAGAGGCACATTCTCGAAGTGAATGTTGTGGCAACGCCGCTGATGCCGACGGCAATTTGTGAGCAATGGGACGACAAGAAGTTGCACTACGGTGGTCAGCGCAAATTTTCTTCGTTGCCTGCTCTAGACCACATGAACACCGCATCAGCCGGCAGGATTCACGTCTAGAATCTGAATCCGTAGTGATCAGCTTCAAGGCCATGATCATCATCGTGGGGCTCTCGTAACCAGGAGTAGAAAATCCGTCTCAGTGAGTCCGAGCATGAAAGGGCAGCCAAAAATCCGAAGAATCCGATAGCGTAACCCACGAGGCACGCTGGACCTGAAATTGAATCACCGATAATCCACGAGGGACCGACTTCTGTGGCCGTGGAAACCGCGGAAACTGGAGCAGACACGCTCTCAGAATTCGTAGTATTGGTATTGGCGCAAGGTTCTAGGGGCAACCCGCAAAGCCCAGGATTGCCTTGGAACTTCTCAGGTCCCCAGGTTTGGAATTGTGTGTACTGTGGAATGGGCCCCGTCACATTATTGAAGCTCACATCGAAATACTGAAGACCACTCATGGCTCCCAGTTGGTTGGGAATCACTCCTGAAATCCTGTTACCCGCGACATCCAAGGATTCCAGCGAGTGCAGTTTTGAGAGGCTGGGAGGTAACGCCCCTTCGAAGGAATTGTTGGCCAACGTCAGGTAGCGGATGCCCAGCAGGTCCCCGATCTGCTCCGGTATAGGACCCGAGAAATTATTGCCTGACACATCGAGGGAAATGCGAACGGTGGCGATCTTCTCCAGGAGCAGTCTCATGCCCTTGGCATTGATTTCTATCTGGTCGTATACGTACATGTCCGGAGATGTGATCTCCTTCAGGGCTTTGAAGCCGTGCATGCGGCCGATGGTCGTCGGCAGTGAGCCTCGAAGACTGTTGTTCGAAAGGTCCAGCACCTGGAGAGATGGTAAGCTCGTGATCCAGTTTGGAAATCCTCCTGTCAGCTCGTTCGATGCCAATGCCAAAACTTTTAGTTTTGGAAGAAACTGCAGACTCGGAGGCAAGGGTCCGACGAGAAGGTTGTTACTCAGATCCATGGAGAACAACGCTGTGCAGTTGCCTATCGACGGCGGGATCTGACCACTAATTCGATTGTTCCTCATATGGAGCACCCCAAGTCCACTCGGACAAAAGTTTGCTGGAATTTGCCCAGTCAATCTATTATGGCCAAAACTCAACCTGTAGAGGTCGGACAGGTTGCCTACCATGTTCGGTAAGGGGCCTTCGAGAAAATTGTGGGATAGACTCAAAGACCTCAGCGAGTGTGACCAATGTTGAGGAATCGTTCCAGAGAGTCTGTTGCGCGAAAGGTTGATATAGCTGCAATTGGTGAAGAAAGGTGGGATTGCGCCAGATAGATCGTTCTCGGAGAGAAAAAAATAGTATGGCTTTTTCAAGCGGTCAAACTCTACTGGTATGTGCCCCGTCAATGAGTTGCTGGTAAGGCCAAGAACTTGCAGCATGGAGCAATTGCTCAAGGACACTGGAATGTTGCCCGAGAGATTATTGTTCACCAGGTTGAGATGTTTCAGTCCTCCCAGACGGCCAAACTCCGACGGTATTGGTCCTGACAACAAATTAAATCCCAACTCGATGCTTTCTAACTTGGAGCAATTGCCCAGGGAAGTTGGGATGTATCCGGAAAGGATGTTCCTGATTATCACCAAAGACCTCAGTCTTCCCAAACTGCCAAATTCTGGCGGTAGAAGTCCTGACAGATGATTGTCCGAGAGACCGAGATATTCCAACTTGGAGCAGTTGCTCAAGGAAGCTGGAATGCTTCCGGACAGCTTGTTCAAACGGAGATCCAAGGTAGCCAATGTATGCAAACGGCCGATCTCTGATGGTATCTCCCCCCAGAAGGAGTTGGCCGATAGGTTGAGAACTTTCGCCATGGAACAATTGCTCAAAGAAACTGGTATGTGGCCGGACAGATTGTTGTGAGAAAGAGACAATTCACCCAAATTGCTCAGAAGGCCAAATTCTGAAGGTATTTCGCCTGACAGAGAGTTGTTTTCGAGCGAGAGATGTTGTATCGAGGAGCATGCCCCCAGGGACCTTGGAATGGGACCCGAGAATTCATTGTGCGAGAGGTCCAGCCTTTGAAGAGACGAAAGTTGCCCGAGAGAGGATGATAGGGAACCTCGCAGATGAAAATGACTCAGATTGAGACCTATGACCTGACCTCGGGAACCGCAGTGAACCCCTACCCACGCACATGGACTAACATCGTTCGCATTCCAGCTCGAGAATTCGGCGGTGGCATTTTCAATCATCATCCGAAACCTCATCAAAGCCTCGACCTCATGCAGACTCGTACTCGTTGCTCCACCACTCGGAGAAGTTGCAGACATTGTTTGAGAGTCAACGCTCACTGATAGACCTCTCCTCAAAGTTGGGGTAGCAGATGCTGATTTCACTCCTGTGCCCGGGGTAACACCAAGATCATTCACCACCACACCATCGCAATTCATCAAGCTACACCTCAGAACGAGGAGCAAGATCGGAAGACCAGATCTCACAGCAGCTCGCTCCATCGCCACTTCAGTTTCGGACACTCCCTCTCTTCAACTGAGAAATGTGTTCAGGATTCCCACTTCCAAGCATGTGGCAGTGCACTGAATCTTCGAGTTCCGCTGAGATTTGGTGTTTATAGGTGTCCATGCAAAGTGTACGTACATCTCGAGTGCAAAGTCTTCTGATGACTCACGGATCAACGCGACCTCCATTGGAGTCCAAACGCCCAGATTCAGCGCCTTCTTCTCTTCCAAGTCTTGGTTCGCTATTTGTTCGGTCTAGTGAAAAGGATCGAAGAATCCACCCGGCTTCAAGTTCCTCGTAGGGTCATAACCTACGCCATAACTGGGCCTTTTGATGAGATCTATTCGAGATCTCATCAAAAGGCCGCACTTTCGAATCGATGGATCTCGGCTCCGGCATGTGATCCATCGGTTGGAGAAAGTTTGGTGAGGTATAGCTTCGGCTGCGAGCGACCGGATATTATTCAACCATCGACTCATATGCAATTCGCTTAAGTGTGTGGTCTGAGAGGCCGATATCTCAGCGCGGTTGAAGCTTCTCAAGCTCAGTTGTATTGCGACTAGTGACTTTAAATTGTTTCGTGCAACTGCCCAGGCTCAGCTGAAGACAGCAAGCTTTGGGGAAGATGCCCTCCCGAACTGAGTCAGCTACTTGACTTCGGATACTACCACTAATTTGACTTGACTTTTTCCCACCAGACCACCAGCTCAACATCTCGTGACATCAGATACGAGGATAAAGAGCATTAAGAGCAAAAAGGAGCCAAGTGATCCAATGAGCACCACAGTGATTCTTTATGAACTTCTCAACTTCCGATCAAGCTGGCCTTTCTTTCAACTAGCTCGTTGTTTGAATGCGCTGAAAGAAGACGAGCTTAAATGATCAAGACTGCAGGTATGGTCTACAAAACGACGTCAGCGTGGACCAAAGCGGGATAATCACGTACGTGTTCGGCATTATCAGGAAAAGATCTCGCCGCTACTCTGGGCTCCTCACCGGTTTAGCGAGTTCATCGTTTGATCGATGATCGTTTCATGCACATCAGAGGAATTTGCTAACTTTCCCTCTGCTTTGATCTCCTAAAATTACATCCTGAGAAGGTATTGGAGGTAAATCAGAGATCTGCCCAATTCTAAATGGTATGCTTTACCACCCACGTTAAGTACTCCAGCTGTGTATCTCGACCGATACGGGTGCTAAAATGACATGTCGACATCTTTGTTTTCCTTGATGACATGTATGTCTGACTCCAATCTCACTTTGAAAAGATGCGCCTGGTGTTCCCAGCTTCAATGTTAACTGTCAGCCAGATACACTTCTGTGAAAATGACAGCTACAAGGACCCCAGATTTGGAGTAACCCTAGCAGCCACTGTCATGTTCCATGACTTCGAGTGCCAAGCGAACGATTCAAGGACGAATCCTCGATATAAGACTTCGACCTCAGGTTTTTCCATACATCTGGTCGAAAAGTCACAGCTTTGCACTGCTTGGGCTATATAATTTGATACAGAGCCACGCAACTTAGAAGCGCAAGCAACGAGTGATCGATTTCAAATCGAAACTAACTATAAGATCTCTTGGACTACGTAGTTCTGTGTGGCTCACAGTTGATCATCATATTCTTCATAGTGCCTCTCCCTAAGGTCTCGATCCGGAGGATCCTTCTTTGGCTTTACAGAGTCCTCAGGGCCGGATATGGCTTGACGACGCACACGATATCCAGCAGGTCTCTTGTCCTATGGGCCGAAAAGGTTTTCACTCCTGCGTTGACTCTGACATCAGACTTCAGTGTCACCATGATACGAAATGGAGTAATCGAACTCATCTTACCGTTGCACAAGGTAAAGCGAGGTCGGTTTGCTAGCAATAATTCACAGCTCGGCTGTACACAGATCTAACACAAGCACACGGTTGCTTTGTTTCTGCCAGTAACTCTCTTGTGTCCTGGTAGCCTTTGAAGGCTTTCATTCATCATGGTGTTGGTCTGCGTGATGTAGGTTGATGCGGTTTCCCTGGAATTGAGTTATACAGCCCATGCATCGTCTTCATCCAGCATCCACGTCTCAATCCAACCTTTGACAGACAGTTTCTGACTACGGGACCGACGCCGAGATGAGCAGTACATCCGCTCCGACAGGAGCATGGATCTGTTGTGATAAGCTCGCAAGACGTATGTCCTGGTGCCTGAGCTCAGTTTGGTTGTGCCTTCTCACCGGAGTACCTTCACACATAATATCACCGTCCGGCGATGTAGAGATATAAACCAATGCATTATTCAACATGAGAGTATTTCATAAAGTGTGTTCTCAAAATTCCACTAAATTGGGTGAGCCCGTGCGAGGTTTATTTGAAGTAATTCTAATTCTCAGTGCCAGATCTAATTTTCAATCATACATGGTCAATTTGCAGTTTAGGCGACCGGAACCACAGAATTTCGTAGAGATTGAGGCTGTCCACTGAAGAAATCTTCCAGAATAAAATGAGTCTGCGCAGACTCTCAGAGCACGTAAGAAAACGAATCGCAGCATTCTGACCGGTCCCGTGCTCTGAGGGAGGGAGGGAGGGAGGGAGTCACTGCCATGCATGGACTTGGAGTCTGAAAGACTAACGAAGTCTTCTTCAGCAATGAAGTAGGTACTACGTGGACCTGCATAGATCAGCGTCACGTACACCATGTCGGCATTCATGCGGTCGGAAATCACGTGCTGGAAGCGGCTATGAGTCAATCCGTGTATACGACTGTTTCCTAGCGTCCATGCTTCGACTATTCAAAAAGCTTTTCCTCGTCGTGTTCCTTCTGTGCCCATAATCCAGCGATCTCCTTGGTTTCAGATAACATTCGGAAATCGTCTTCATGGAATATTATATCGTCAATACGTGCTGCGTGAAGTCAAGAGCGAGTCCGTTGAGCATGTGAACGTCAAGCTTCTCGCGCAATTCCTCGATGACTTCCTCGCGAGAAAGCTCGATGACGATCAGAATACAGTTTCATGATTCTCATGCGCGCTAGCCCAGAAGCCTCAGATTCGATTCGACTCTACTCTACTCTAGGCTGATTTGCGGCAGTAAGAGTCTGTCAATTTCGATCGCTCGCTTGCGCCGTAATTCTCGGGAGAGCAGTTCCAGCCCGTCCTACGAGCCCAAATCATGGACAGCATGGAATCTTGCTCGATTGGGTCCCAGTGTCAGAAGCAGGACTGCTGGCGCCTTTGACACATCGGTCCTTCCGTGAAAACTTCCTGGTGGAGGCTGCGAGTCAAACGTTCTCATTGATTTTTAGACCAACATTCGTGGGCTTTTATTCTTTGATTTGAATTTTATATTATTTATTTTAAAGTTAAAATCCAAATTTCATAATAAAGTTATTCATTCCAAAAGATTGGTATATTTATATTATAATAAGAAGATAAAATATAATTAAAAAAATAATTTTATGTTGATATTTTTGTAATTATTCTGTTAAGTTTTTTTATAATTTAATGAATATTACGTACATTAAATGAATTTATATAAAAAATTTACTTATTTTTAAAATATCTGAAAATTATTCAAATCGACATTAAATTAATATTCAATTAAAAATATATTTTCAAATCATTTAATGTTATCAATTTTATGATAATCTTATGATATATTAATATATCATTATTTCTTAATTATTTAAATGGACAAATAAAATATTATAAATTAATATACATAATATCACAAACTTTCATGTTCAAATGGAATATATATATATATATATATATGATATTTAAATAGAAAAAAATATTTAAAAAATATTTATGGAATCAAAACAATAAAAACTCAATAAATAAGATATTCATATATATGGAATCAAAATAAAAATTAATAAAAAAAATTATTACCAATTTTTTAATAGTTTCATACGTATTATAATATTTTTATACAATTATATTCAACTATATAGTTCATTCATAATTGATCTAGTAATATTACAAGACTTATATGATAAAAAACCTTGCATATAATAATGATAATATTTATACTTGTGATCTAAATAATCTTTTTCACAAATTGCAAGATATTTTATATTTTTTAATACAATAAATTTTGTTCATCTTCTAAAATTTTTATTTTTATAATGTATTGTACACAATAATTAATTTTAAATATTACATTCATAATGACAAGATGAATCAATATTATTGATGGAAAAGAGTAAAATTAATACTTTTAACTACATAGAACATAAATAATAATTTTTTTATATTATGAATCAATACCATCAAACAATTAAATTTGTATTTGTAAAAATCAATTATTCGTGCTATATGTAAGTTTAAATGTTGCAAATGTGATATAAAATTTTAGAAATTTCAAATTATCAAGTTTTACTCTCAAGCTTATTAAATATATAATTATTTTATATTTTAATTTAAAAATATAAAAACACAACATGATTTGACTAGATGGTGAGTAAAAAAAATTATAATTAGATATTACAAATTGTGTTTATTCTAGAATAAATTTTGGTTAAATTGATCAGATGTAAGTACATTATTGATTATTTCTTATGTTGAGGTTTCTTATTTAAGAATTGATGAATTCATATTTTTAATCCCATTTCGTTGGGGTTTAATGATAGTTCAATGCGCTATTTAAATTTTGCACAGATGAAAGCATTTGAAGTGATGCCATAGTATACATGAGTCATATTTTTGTATGTAAAACAAAGCATTAACATCATATTAGTGAAAACTATTAATCCCATAACAAAATTATCGTATAACATTTTGTGTTGAGACTTCAGAGTAATAAAAAAGTGACATGATATTTTAAAAAGTGTTTAATTTTTTTCATATTAACTATTATGCTCCAAGTGGTTAAATGCCAGAAGTTAACAACAATTGCAATGAAAATTTGAATTGCAATAATTAAGTGATAAATTTCTATTCTTAAAAAAATTAACACATAAAAATACTTCAATTTTATTTTAAAAAAACAAATAAAATAATTATAGTAACTATGGCATGATCATTATAATAACATTTTTTTGAAAAATATTTCTCACAAATATCTTTGATAACAAACAATGTATGGATCTCAGTTTATTAAATGAAAATTGTTAGCATCTATATTTAGTTGAATCTATATATTTGTGTTGCAAAAATTAAAATTTATCAATCAAATTATTTAATTATTAAACAATCAATCAATCAAATTGTAAGACAGTGATGGAGAGTTTGACTAGTACAGCACATATGTTAAAAAATAGATTAGCTGATCTAAGATGAACACAACAAGAACAAAAATCTAGTGTAGATTAGAAATGTAATAAATCATTTTAATTTGACTTTGAGTTCAATTAAAAAAAGTGAAAGCATCGTACAGTGATACCTTAGTTTTTCAAAATTTAAAGCTCGAGATGTTAAATTTATCACAGTTATAATTGGCTGAGATGTTGACTCTTTCTATCATCTTATGTTGGTTGTTCATATAAACATGAAGAAGATTAGTTGGATTTACATTGGTGTGAGACATGTTGGTTTTATGATATGAGTACTTAATAGTAATTCAACTGAATACTAGAGTAATCATAGATTTATATAATTGTTAACAGTGTTTGGTTGTAAAGCCAATGATAGCAATATTTTAGCTAATATGGCGTATTATTTTGATTACATGACTCCAAGTCTATATACTTCTAGTATAATGTGTAATCTATATCCCATTTTGTTCTTTGTACTATCAATTGGTTAGTGTTCATTCACTCTACATATTCACATATATAAACACTTGAGTGATAATATCTTAAATTTAATATAAAATTTAATTACATCTATTTATTTAAAATAATCAAATCGTTCTTGAGAAATTTTTGTATAATGTATTATGACTTTTTTGTAAAAACAATTTTTGTATAATGACTTTGTTTTAATGTCTTCAAGCAAAAAATCATGACTCCAATTCATGACTCCATATCGAGTGATTATTTGTCTGGATGTTAGATCTTGACAAGGAGTTCTCCGAAATGAAATTTTTATGGAGATAAGCAAATCATTTTTGGCTAGAAATCGACAGCTGCCTTGGTTTAAAGTCGTCATTGCATGGAATATTGCAAGCTATTCTCCAGCCAAAAAATGATCTAAGTATCTCAAAAAAAAAAAAAACATATGCTAGAGCTCCTTGTCAAGATCTAACGTCCGGACAAAAAATCACTCAATTTGAGTGATGAATTGGAATCATGATTTGTTGCATGAATAGAGTAGAATAACATCGAGACATAGATCATTAAAAGAAGAAATGAGAGAAGAGTTTGCTAAAAGTAAAGATTGCTAGAAATGTCAAGCATTAAACACCTCTTGTTTCAAAATATATCATCAATAATATATTGCTTGACTTTACATTGGAAAGCCTCAGCTAGAGCAATTTGTAAAAGAGCGGGATGAAACTATTATATCATGATGATGTATTATCGATAGTATCTTGCTCAACTTTATGTTGGAGCTATTTGTAAGAAAACGATTTCTAATGATTCCATGATGATGATGATATATCATCGAAAGACACTTGCTTGATTTTAAGTTGAAAAGCCTTAGCTACAAAAATTTGTAACAAATCAAAATCTAACGATTCTATCATGATGATGTATTATCATGATGATATATCATTGATAAAATCTTACTCAATTTTATGTTGGAGAGCTAGAGCAATTTGTAAGAAAGCAGACCTAATGATTCAAATATGATGATTATATATCATCATATTTTTTTGATTTTATGTTGGAGAGTTCAAACTAAGGCGATTTGAAAAAGAACAAATGTAACAATCCTATCATGATGATGTATTATTGATAGTATCTTGCTTGATTTTACGTTATAGAGTTTGAGCTTCAACAATTTGTAAGAGAGCGGTATCTTACAATTGTATCATAATAATGATGTATCATAGATAATATCTTGCTTGAATTAACGTTTAAGAGCCTGAATTGCAACAATTTCTAGGAGATATGATCTAATGATTCTTTCATAATGATGTATCATTGATAATATTTTGCTTGACTTTACATTGGAGAGCCTGAGTTACAACGATTTGTAAGAGAAAGGAATCTAACGATTGATCATGATGATGTATCATCGATAGTATATTGCTTGATTTTACGTTGAAGAGTCTTAGCTCCAGCGATTTGTAAGAGAGCAAGATTTAAGTATTCTATCATCATGATGATGTATCATCGATAGTATCTTGCTTGACTTTACGTTGGAGAGCCTGAGCTAAAAAGATTTGTAAAGGAGGTATCTAACAATCCTGCCATGATGATGATGTATCATCGATAGTTTCTTGCTTGACTTTATGTTGGAGAGCCTGAGCTGAAGAGATTTGTAAAAGGGAGGTATCTAACAATTCTGCCAAGATGATGATGTATCATCGATAGTTTCTTGCTTCACTTTACGGTGGAGAGCCTAAGGTGAAGAGATTTGTAAGAAAGTATCTAACTGTCCTATCATGATGATGTATCATTAATAGTATTGTGCTTGATTTTATGTTAGACATCCCGAGCTGCAGCAATTTGTATATTAATCATGCACTTACATTCGCTGTTCAACTCCGGCGTAATCGTTTGCACACTGTTTTGTTTGAGCTCGCAACTTCCACTCTCGACTACTACTTGCTCGAGTTTGAGCTTGCAACGATGGGCAGGTGTTGCTTTTGCCACTTATGAACATTGAACATTTTGAAAATTTCAGTGATAGTTTTGTGTTCTTGCATGTAACTTGATAATGCCAACCCACATATATGTATATACATACAACCTTCTTTTCTCTGTACTTATGATTTACAATCATGTGTTTGTTGGATTTTTTTTCTTTTATATTTTATTGTGGGTGTGTTATTTGAATGTTCTTATATTTTTCATCATTTCATATATTTGGATGCAGTAAAAACCTATTTTGATAATAAAATCTATTTTCAAAATAGTTTATTGAACGCATATACATGAGAAGTGCACGGTTATTGGTTTTTAGGTGTTTTTTTTCATTATATACAGTTCGAAAAATTTTACATTCAAAATCTTAGCCGTTTTATTCACACTTACTCAAATAAACGTGACAATCATAGTTGCTTATTGATACATGATCAAGATACATCATTCTGTAATGTCGATACTTGGGTCTTCAATCTTTTACTTGGAAAAATAAACGATGTGCTTATTTTGCAAAATCTCTGCACAATTTGTTCAATGATCAAACAACACGAGATCCGAGCTTGTAGAGAAATCAGCGTCGTCCATTGATGATAGCACAACTACAAACCAAGACTGTGATGATTAAATGACTGGAAAGGTAGGTTCAAAATTCAAGTTTGGGTCTGTGTGGAATCAAATCGTTACCACTTTTGAATCATGCCGCACACAACGAAGATGTAAAAATTTCGATGGACACGTCAACGAGAGGCAATTACTTTAACGCGTGCATTGTCCATTGTCTTTTCTGCACAATCATTCAGATTCGAGTAAATGGGAGCAACTCGTTAATGAGGACGAAGAACCTGAAGAGGCTAAACAACGGCCTGCTCGTTTGAATGAATTGAACCCCTTCATGGCGAGGAGACGATTGGAATTTTGTCTTCGTGATTCAGTTGCTGAGAGAAATTGCTCTGACCAAGTGAATGTCCTCCGTACCTGACACGAAATGCGTAGAAGGTTAGAATCACATTTGTCGAAGTCATATTAATTGAGGTAGAAACTGCAACTTCGGCCACACGCCCGCAGACTCTCGCTCACGGTGGACCGTACTTTTCTACTGCCCTGTCCATGGGGACCCGCTGTGCATCCCAAAGCACCAGAAAACCTAATTATACACAGACCTATTTAGCTCTGCTTGTGAGGAGCAGATAACTTTGTTAAGTTACTGACGAATCGTGACGCGACGTGAGTTCATTATTGCAAAATGCGCAGGTCTCGTCCATTGACTGCACACTCTGATTGATTCCCTCTTGTCCGATGTGGATGGGATGCGCTATCTGCATGCTCAGCTCTGAACGAGTAAACGCGAATCCGCACACACACACACACAGGGGAAGAAGAAGAGGCATTAGGTCAAGTTAGAGGTGCAGTCGAGTTATGGGTAATCAGAACGAGTGATGAAGCGGAAGCACTCGCCATCACCAGTAAGAAGGGGACCGATGTTCCCACCATATCAGAACTAAGAGAATAACGCGAACTTGATTTGGTTTAGTTCTGGGAACACGTGACCGGCGACAGCGGAAGGCTGGCCTGCAGCAGCAGGAGGAGCACAAAGCACAATCAGACGATAAATTATGGAGGAAAGGAAGGCCATGATTAGATTACGCGCCGTGGAATTTGATTAGAGAACAGGTCGGGCCAAACAGAGGCGGACAGATGAAGCGAGAGGGAGGGCTCGGGGGATCGAGCCATGGACGATGCGGTTTGTCGTGTGCGGGGAGAATTCGATCCCGAGGCATGATTCGAAATTCCAAGAGCCATAAATTCTCAGTGACCCGAAAAGCTTCCTTTCTCTCAGGACAGGAGCTTCCACGGGGCCCACTGGATCCGCGGCACAGGCGGCACCGGCTGCAGCCAGTACTGGCAGAGCGTGCAGTGGCAGGCGCCATGAAGAAAAAGCGAGCAGGACCGGGCATGCTGGGGGCACGACCGGGCATCGAAGGTGGGCGGGCCCCACGCGAGTCGCAGGCTCGTGCTCTCGCGGGCCTGGATTCCCCACCACAGGTCCCAGCAGCAGCTGCTCCGGCCCCCCGCGAAGCGCTGAGGAGCTGAGGAGCTGCAGCAGCAGCAGCAGCACGAGAGTAGAATTAGCGTGATCCGTTTGTTTTGTTCGGCCCCGAACAAAACAGACCGAGCCCAGCAGCCGGCACAGACACGGACGCAGAAGCAGACCCGACCAGAACAGAATAGGTGAATCAAAATGTTCCGTGCTGAACGGACCAACTGGACAGCGAGAGGACTGGGCTGGGACGTTATGAACAATCTCTGTCTGTCTGCGAGTGCGAAGGGGAGGGGAGGGGAGGGGAGTGGAATGGAATGAAGGGCGAGTTGAACTGCAGTGGGTGGATTGATGTGGAGCAGGGGGGGGGAACCGGGAGTGGATGGACTGGTCTGGACTGGACTGATTGACAGACCGAGAGAGGGGAGGGAGGGAGGGAGAGAGGGGAGGGGGGAGGGTGGGGAGGAAAGGCAGTGAAGGAGGAGACGAGAGCTCGAGGAGTGCCAGCTATGGCGGGCCAGCACCATGAGTTCCGCAGGGGTGGAGGAAAGACGGGAGTCATTTGGTAGATGGAGCGATCAGAGGTGTTCGGACAGCTTGAGAATTTGCTCTTTTGCCTTCTGGGAACCGCTCATGTGATTCATTGCTTTCCCGGAGCCAATTGGATTAGGGCCGAGAGCTCGATCCGGTGAAAGATTTGAGACTGCGGATAAGGAGATCTTTACTCTGCGCTCCACGGCACATATTACTCCACTGAACTACAGTGTTCGTGGGGAATTGGTCGGCGAAGAGGAGGAGAGCTAATAGCGACATTTCTAGGATCAGTATCCACACTATACCACCGATCGTGCAGTCCTGTCTTTGCTGCGGATTTTTCCGGTCCAGCACAGCTCACTCGGAAAGCAGCAGCATTGAGATGCGTCGTGGGAGACTGGGATTTTTCAACCTGTGTTGAAGTCGGCCGATTCGCTGCCTGGGGACTTTTGATGTCCTGGAACGAATCGCTTTAGGGTCGATAGGTAGTGAAATACAGGGAAATATCGAAGAGCTGGATCTGCTCCCTGACATCGGCTGGATTGCGTATTGGAATTGCTTGCTATCCTCGAGAGACTTAGGAAGTAGGGGTGAGGGATGGCTGCCCCGCCTGCACAGTATGCACAATGGTCAGCTCCCGCACCTCCAGCTGATACTTCCCATGACGAGGTAATTTTGGCTACTGTGAACAGACTACTCCAGCCGGGAGGGTTTTCCTCGTCTCCGAGCTGGAAATTTAGTAACGCTTATCTCTATATTCAAATCTCACTTCGCACGCAGTCGTTACTAACGTTGGCTGCTGTAACGTTCTCCTGTCATCGTAGATAGTTTCTCCTCGAGCTTTCTTATCTTATGGTCATGGTAACAAACCAGGAGAAATCGCCAGATATTTCTGTCTCTGAAGACAACCAGGATGGCAGTGGAAAGTAGTACAGCTTCATGGATCTACATATCACTGATTCGGGTAGCTAAGCAGTAAGGATTTCCGCGAAGGAAATTCGAATGTGATAGTCGGAGACTACGCGCGAGTTGTAGGACAGACTTGCGGTGTAAACGAGCGAATTGACGAGACTTCTATGAGGCTTGTTGGTTTCTTAATTCATAACATCCTAACCTTAATATTCTTAAAAGAGAATGGAACAAATGTTACCTTGTACTACAGATTTTGGGGCTCAGTGTCTTACTGTAACAGGCTTGTTAGAGGTTTTAGTGCTCCATTCATGCTTGCTCTCACCTGTGTTTTGATGTCAACCCTATGGAACGACTAAAAAATATATGTGGCTGCTGTTACATCATTCAACAGATGCTGAGGATCCTCTGTTTGCTATATATTCATTTCCTTCTTACATCATTCATACTACTCGAGCAACATAAGATTTAGATTTTGGAGCAGCAGTATGGAGTGCCAGTACCATCCAATGCTCCAGGCTGTAGTACAGGCTTGAGCCATACACGCAATGTAGGCACCCACACGAACAGCCCGAGTTCTCCATAGGGCATGACGTTTCTTGAAGTTCGTTGGAGTTATGCCATATCTTCCTCAGATACCATTCCCAAAATTCCCGTACCTTCTATGTTGGTTTGAAAAAGGCTTGGGAGGTCTTTAAACCTTCACTAAATCAGACGCAGGACATTTCGATGCCAACCAAATTGTCCTTGAGAGATTTTTCCATCGGGAAGGAGGTCTCTTTGATGAAACTCTAATGGCGGTTACATGTCACTCACAGTAACTGGACACGGAGGAAGCAATCACAAATCAGATCTCTTCCTGGGGTCAGAGGGACTTTGTCCAGTTTCAAACACTATCTCTTGGTGACACGGCTATATTTGATGTTCATTGTGGGGTTCATTTCTCTGAATGAGAAGAGCAGGGTTATGGAAACAAATCTGCACCTGTGTGGCAAAGAGGCAGTCCTGATTATCTTTTGATACGATGCAGCTTTCTTTCCTATTTGAGAATCAAACTACCTCGTAACATTGCTCTGCAGGCGGAGTCTAAGTTGTTTGCACTATCCTTGACCCAAATCCCGAAGGGGTTTCTTGGTTCATGTCTGGAAACTTCTTTCCATGGAAATCCCCACTACAAGAGAGACTCGGTACCAGACGTCTCTCGATGTCCTCCTGATTCCATCCTGTCTGCTCCACTGCTCATCTTCTTCACATTAGCACAGCTCAGCTAGAGTGAGAGGTCTATGTTGTTCGGGCTTACTCTAAATATTACAGTTTTCTCCTAGTTTCAGTCATTATATTTGTGACTTTGCTTGTACAATGAACATTCCTTCTCGGTCTTGTGTTGACCTTTCCGTTTGCTTGTCCTCCATGTGTTTGTTTTGTCGTTTTCATCAAACGTCCATATTTTCCGTAACTTATTTGATAACCTCTTTATATAAGACTACAACCCTGTAAAATTTTGTTTGTAGAATAGATATTGCACAATTGAACAAATTTTCCCTAAATTTGTTTATTCATGAGCATTTTTAAATTCATTTCTTCTCTCTGACTTGATTACGAATTTTTCTTTTTTGTCTACCAATTGCGTTTATACTCTTAAGTTGGGTAAACATTTCAATCTTTGTAAGGAGTTACACTGACGGTCTCACTTATTCACACAATAGAGTTATCTGATTGTATGTTTTATTCTGAGTGCATTCACTCAGTACCCAGCACACGTTTACAAAGCTTTCTCCCTGAACTCGTCATGTACTGAAATCGGGGCCATGTACAATTACATCTGCCTGTGTTGGCAATCAGAGTCAGCTGGATTTAAATACATTTTTTCAAAGACAGATGTTTGTTTGTTTGTTCTCTACACAACAATTTATATACATTTACTTGGAACCTGCTTTCTATTGTACTGAGTTCTTGTGATCTACTTTCTTTTCATTCACTTTTCACATACTTGCACAACATTTTCGCTGCTTATATACTTTTCCGGCACAACCCTATATGATAGTATCCTCTTCGTCCCATCTAATCTTTGAGTCTTTTAGTCACTTTGCATTCTCCCTTTCCCGTTTTCTGTATTGCATACTCCAACTGCGTGGAATCAAAACTCGTAGCATAGGATATTTGAAGTAGGTCTTTGTTTTGAAGCTGTAGATATCAAATATTAACGAGATTCGTAACATAATAATTTACGTCGTGTGCCGGAATCTCCATACAATAGTAGTTGGTGCATGATGAATACTGTTCTCACCCCACAGAAATTCAGCACTACACGGAAATAAACGTACCTCCTGCTTATTTAATACAAAAGAATGTGTAGAACAGATCTGCAAAATTTTGTTCATGATGAGAGGACCTTGGTTTTAGACAAAATCTGCATGTCAGGGATAGTATATCATAGAAATTTTAAAAACTCCAAAATTTTGTCCTGAAATTTGAAGGAACCATGTTCACACAGTGATTACGAACGTCCCTTTCCTTTAAGTGAGCTACTTAATTCAGTTTGTATCGATTTGATGAACTCTTCAAGTACATATGATTGTTTCGAGAGCGTAATAATGGATCTATCTTGATATACATTTGGTGCCCTGCTAGGTGCGAACAATTTTTGTTCTTGGATTTCCTCCCGACGTGAAAGAACGAGAGCTTCAAAATCTTCTGAGATGGTGGCCTGGTTATGAAGCGTCACAGATGAACTTCAAGGGTGATCAGCCAATGGGTTTCGCGTTATTCTCTACAGCAGCCATGGCAATGGCTGCTCGAGATGCCCTGCAAGTGAGTCCAGTGGATGATTCAAACGCTATCTCTTAGGTTTAGATTTTTAGAAGTCTTTAACTTGGAATTAGTAATGTCTCAAGTAGACTGTCGTTTTGTGAAAAATACATTGCACGGGTATATTGGTAGATTACCATATGGTTCATTTTGAAGACAGTCAGGCTGACACAACAGTGGATCTCGTGCATGGACCTGTTTATTATTATATGTCACAGAATTTGGTCTTTGATTCGGAGACAAATTCTGTGTTGCGAGCTGAGATGGCGAAGAAGAACTTGTACGTGAAGAGAGGTATTGAATATCCAACGACAATTCTTGATGTCCTGCCCATCATGATTGTGGTAGAAATTTACTCTTTTCTAACTAATCATGCTTATTTATTGGAAGCCATTAAAAGAAGTCAGTCATTACTCAAGCAAGGATAGATTCTCCATTAGAGCTAATTGGTTCTGATGATAGGTCCAACTTTAGAAGTGTATTTTATTATTCGTACTAAAGAAATTGCAAAGCAAACCCAATTATGCCTAAAGATGAGTGACCAAAGGATCAGATTTGGCTACATAGGATGGCTGGTTCTGTGACTTCTTTGTTTCTTTAGTTGCCCTCTCTGATTTTATGCCTGTCAGGAGATACAGGTGGGTCCGAGCCTGCAACTTATGACCCAAGCAAGAGGATGAGAACTGGAGGAGACTATTCTGCTCCACAATATGCAGCTCCATCAGCCTTCGTTCCTCCAGCGGCACCTACATGGGGTCCTCAAAGGTGAACAACAAGTTCTGATGAAACCTACAGGGTTTCCTGTTGTAGCACAACTTTGCATACATTTTGGTACAATTTCAAAGAGACTTTGGCAATCATCAAGTAAAACGTCAATTTGCATTCTAGGCCTTTATATTTTGTTGAGTTGTGCACTTTGTCATGTTCACAGCTACATTCCTCCTTCAGCACCCTATGATCCATACGGAGGTTATTCTGTGGCACAAGTTCCACCTGTGGCCCCGGCTGGGTATGCCCCTGTTCAGGTAGATCTGCATTATCTAACAGAGATTCTCAAGTCTCTGGCGCTAAGCTTGCATTTGTATGCATCCCTAGATCATTTATATTTTGCATATGAGTGACGTCTAACGGAAAGAAAAAATCTATTGCCCATGGACTTTGTTTGAGAACTTTGTTTGTGTTGTGTCAAACAGAACACCAAAGATAATCCCCCGTGCAACACCCTATTTATTGGAAACCTAGGAGAAGCTACCAGTGAAGCAGAATTACGGGGACTTTTCAGTGGGTATGGTTTGATGCTATGCATTTATGAATTTGCTAACCGGAATTTTTTGATTCCTGTTTTATTTTCATATCGATGTGGCCCCACATGTCTGCCAAAGTTTGTTTAGTAATCTGAAGAAAGGTAAAATATAATCAACCTGCACTAAGTTTTATTAATGTGGTCGGCTGCAGGCAACCAGGCTTCCGTCAAATGAAGGTCCTAAGGCAAGGAAAAAGCACAGTGTGTTTTATTGAATTTGGGGTATGTGTAAATTTGAATTCAGCACCGCTGAGCCTGAGCGTAGGTTGTACTGTGAGTTTTGAAAGCTTTGAGAGTGCTACTTATAAGAAAAGTCATATCGTGACATTTCACTCTAAATTTTATCAAGGAAACGGTCAAAACTGCAATATATCTTTCAGACTAACGCATGGATGTACGTTGTGTTAAATACCTCAATAAGCGGTATTATGTTTGTACTTATGAGCAACCCAGAGGAATTTTGTTCTGTTTTCTGTTTTCTTTTCATTTGAAATCTAAATTTGATGTATGTGTTATGTTTATACCACAGGATGTAAGTACCGCGATGTCAGTACATCAAAATTTGCAAGGGGCAGTATTGACAACATCTGATCGTGGTGGCATGAGAATACAATATCCTTTCAATACTTCGTACTTCTTCTTTCGACCTTTTTTTGATGTCCATTTTTGGGAGGAGTTGTGTACGTCGTCAGTTGTGGTGAACTTTTTGCAAGCCTTCATCAGTGTTTGTTCTTGACTTGTTCCTTCTCACGTATTCAAAAAATCCTTACGGCCGAAAAAGAGAAGGCATGGGGACTGGAGCCCAACAGTCAGATGGCGTTGTTGCGCCAACTCAAGCGAGCCAGGTGAAGCTGGAGACCACTCCTGCCACGGCGGTACCAGAACTGAATGGAGGCCCCGAAATTGCTTTAGCTCCAGTTCTGCCACCTCCCTCTTCTGTTAAATCAGAGCAACCACAGGCTGTTTGAAGGGAGCAAGGACACGGAGTAACCCTTGAGTCTTGCGGCATCGTTCCAAAGTGATGTATTCCAATCTCAAAGCTCACTGGAATATGGTATCATGAGATTCGGCATCATGATGCATCACAGTGCATCATTATCATGAGTATAATATGTTAAAGCTCTCGTCATGTTCAGCATTCTCATCTTCATCGCTTTCAGCATCAGCATTATCCTCATCAAGCAAGGTCAGTGGATAAGTGGTGGTTGTACATGACAGACACTACACACATAGGGGGTTGAGGGAGATGCATCGTCATCACACATGGACAAAAAGGGTTGCAGAGGCTTTTTGTCAGTTACAAAGACGATAGATGCATCGGCATCAGTGATCTTGCGGGTTTCTCATGCAGCTCATGTTTGGAGATCAGATACTCAAGTCACACATGTTTGTCGGCATCTCCGCATTCGCATGAAATTTTCGATCATCATCTGCATGGACTTTGCAGTTGGATGGTTGTTCTGTTCGCATAATCTCTTGGCAGTCCTATCCATAAGCAGGCAGATCCCATTAAAAAGGCTCAGATGTCTGTTCATAATGGGGAGTGCATAAGCATAGTTTCGCTAGAGGTCGTCTGCTCATTTGGTACTCCTGAATCGAGCGAGCGATTTGAATAGATTGCAGCTGCATATGCTGTATGTCGATCTTAAAATTTGTTTAGAACAGGGCATAGATAGAAAAAAGCATTTGTCATAATCATGTTCCTAGTATCTGTACTGCAATCACTTCTTCTTGGAGAGATAGTGCAGGGGAGTTTGATCTATGTTGTCAAACTCTTGAAGTTTTTTTGGTTAGGCTGAATTGATCTTGCATCTGCAGGTGCATCTCTCTTTGTTTGTTATTTGACGAGAGACTGAATTTCTAAAGGCAAATCTACTAGAATCTTCAGATTTGGCTAAGCCCTGCCTTAGTTGCATGTTTGTGAAAGTTGTGCACGGTAGAATTTTAGTGCATGGTGATTGCCGCACTAATTTCTATCTTGGGTGGAAGTGGACAGGGGCAAGTATTGATGAGTTGGACTGAAATATGCTATTTGTAAACAGGAGATTGAGTAACTCAAAAGACTGCCCAACTGAAGTGGTGATCTTGGTTTTCCGTGAATATGACGTAGCAGAGATGTCCTAGTTTTGTCACCTCAGGTTGCACTAACTTCTGGTACTGTAAACATACCCGGTCAATAACTCATTGCTATGTCAAGCTTTATAGCAAAAGTCCGACGTAGTATTTGAACCTTCCTCACATACATAGATACCCACTTTCCTACCGGTCCTTGCTTATAGAGCGAGGAAGGAAGATTTTTCATGCAAATCAGTTGACGGTACTGTCAACGACGAGGTGTATGTGTACAATGCGGCTATTTTCTAGGATGGGGGTGATAGTCACAAGAGGGTGACGTGAGATTGTATATTGTACATGTCCAGAAGGCTAAAGCTTTTGATTGCTGGGTACGGTTCTCGAGTGTGCCACAGGATGTGGAAGCCGTCATTTATAGGCGCAGGGGAAGTAGATGGACGCTTATGACTCAAAGAGGCAGTGCAGTTTAGGCAGAAGTTGACTAGCTCGGTGCAATCAGCCAGTCGGTGTTGGGTGCTGGTTCAGGAACGGTGCGAATTAGAGCCTTCCAGACTAGCAGTGGTCCAGTCAAATGTTGTTCAACTTTCAGTTGATTGAATTTCACAAGTTAGGAATGGTTATCTCCAAGTTTTTTTCGTCTTTGAGTGAAAGTTTGGCGATGCAGGTGAATCTGCAACAACGTGTTCTCAAGACAGGTCTCTGGTAAGACCATTCGCGGAAAAATCTCCTCAAGCTTATGAGGCTTGAGGAGATTCTGCGGAATTTCTGCTCCCTGTTTGCTTACAAGTCTTGACTCACTGGCATACAGATACGAGTCTACTTCGGATACTGTAACAAAAGCTAGCTTGCCTCTTTGATGAATCTTCATCTTACTGAGGAGTCTTAGTCAACCAATTCCTCGTGAGATTATCAGTCTTCACAACGGAAATGAAGTGCCAAAGTGAAGGAAAGTGGTTTATTCATATCGTGGCATGTTTCTAAGTATATCTTCATGCAATATGATGTACTTGAATGCCTTGCCTGCAGTGTCGGATGCAAGTAGCTGGCTGAGCTGTCTAACTCTCTCTTAAGTTGGAGGAGGATAGTCTCTTCAAACATTGTCCTTTTCTCGAGCGTAGATTACGGTAGTGTTGTGATCTTCACAGGACGACTTCTTTACGTGCTTCCGTTTGGGTCTCAGCGAAAAGAACTGGAGTTGTGATGAACGTGCTTTCCAGAGGTACTGAAGTCCAACATCAAATGAGAATTTCACTCTATGCTCCCAAGGATACGCACTTCACGCCCATGATCGTACCTCCCGCGAGACGATCTATGATCCAACCCGGAGCCCATCCCACATGGTCATTTAGCGCGCACAGAAGAAGTTTGAAAGGTCGAGACTGTCAGTCAACGTCTAAAGCCCGTGCAATCGAATTTGGAGCGATGGCCATTTTCGATCCTCCTCCATGCCTTGTGAGGAACATTCGGGAGGAAGCATGACCGCATTCTGTGCTCTGTAGCAAACGGGTTATGATGGTGAAATCTGAGACTCCAAGTCGAGTGTGGCATCGCGTGTCAGTACAACCCAACCCCCTCTCTCTCTCTGTCTGCGTTTCGGCACGGGAAAGAATGACGGACTCGGTCGATCTAGTCTTTTCATACGATGTGGACTTCAGTCAGCAGATCCGATCACACAGCGGAGCAGAACCTGACGTGGTCGGTAAAGATGGATGTGAAGGCACGCAGAGCAATGGCGACGTGGCGAAACAAGGCCGAATGTATTCGGGTCTCGGCCCATTCCGAGTCGAGATGGCTTGGAAGTCACTAGTGCTCCTCTTCGCCTGTTGTTTGGGAGCTGGACGGCGATAATTTTAACTGGGCTCAAGAGCGAGCAGACTTAGTGCGTTGTGTCGGGGTCAGATCTGGTCACGTTTCGTCAGATGTTGAACATCATTACTCATTTCAAGTGAGTAGTGGGCTCCATTTTAATCACAAATGAGTCATTTGTTATAGATACGGGGACAGCCCCGATATCATTGGTGCAACCTTGTCACTGACATCCTCAGCAGCCTCCCTCTCCCCTACCTGCTCATCTCCAATTTCTACGTACTACTCTAGTTCTGCGAACAAGGTACATAAGTTTACACACATTCCATCCTCATGGATACACAGTTGACAATATAGGTGATCGAGATACGAATTTCAATCTTGAACTGCTCACAACTTACTTTGCACCCGGTAAATCTTATTAAGAACTCCAGGTATAAGTTACTAATTTGATTTTACAAAATTCAGTGTTTGACCGATTTCCTGGCCACAGAGCTCCATTCATGGATCAGCACAAAACAAGACTTTAGGAGTTCTTTATCATTTTGTTGTTGTTCTTCGTAGAGCAAGCATTGTAATGTCTCGTACAAGAAAGAAGCAGGTACTCAACACCTCTGGCCAGATCATTAAAACTTTCCAATATCCGAAAACCTGCGCATCGAGCACTGCAAACGAGGAAAGTCTCCTCTCGTAGCGGCCCCTGTGTTGTATCGTGTGTTGGGTTTCTTATTTCCCAAATCCTTTTGGAATTTCGTGAAAATGTGGCCACTGTCCGTCTCGAAGGCAAAGGCATGTCTACTCGAACAGAAAGTTTTCAATGTCCGAAGTCAGGTGAATGCAACACGACCGAAAGTTGTAGTCAATTGAACAAGTGCTGAAACAAATTGCGAAGCTGGCACGAGCAAAATGGTCCATATTTCCGATTATATGTTTGTTGGATGAAAACGCCATGTCTGGAATTCTGGCTGTCCGGGTTTCTAATGGGATTGGGTTTTGGCATTTCGATTACAATGCCGAGGTTCTGCTTGCGATTGGTATCGGCAGCTGGTACAAAATTTGCTGAATTCCTTCACGAGTTTATGTATCGACTGTCTTTTCTAAACCAGGGACTGATGGTTTGCTGCCAAATGTGCAGAATCGATCCAAAAAGCCGTATATGAGCTGAGCAAGGCCGGACAGGCGCTTGATTCCTCGGATTTCTCCACAGCATCTGCTGTATTGGGGTGTAATGCGTGGATCGTCGATGTTAAAGCTGCTCTGTCAACGGTGAGGCCACTCGGAATTCAGTCTCAGATTCGGGATATCGCTCGTTGTTCTCGTCAATGTTATCTGAAAGAACACTTGGATTCGGAAGAGTTTTAGACATCTTTTGGGTTCTACTGTACGTGGAATAGTTCCTTTTGTTATTGTCAAAAAGGTCCAAATGGTTTGATAGTACGGATAATGTTATTCTGCAACTGCGAGGAGACTTCCGATTTGTGTTTTACATCTCTGGGAAAAGCTTCACTGCTACATGCACTTTTGGCCTACGGCAGCAATGTATGACTTCAATTCGCAGGTCGCTTAGTATGGATTGATGATTGAAATATGCTGAACAACCTCTTTTACTTCTCATTGGTTCTGCAGGTGAGCAAAAGCGCTGAAGAACAAAACGAAGCTGACTCCTTTGGCACCGCTCTTGCCTCACTGCAAACAGCCGGTACGAAAATCTTCCAGTCACTTCCATGCTTTCCCGTGCTGGTCTGATGTACATCGTGTGCCCAATTTGTCTACCAACACATTCTTTAGCTGTAGCTTTCGAGATAGCTATTGTAGACATGTAAATTTGTTGTTTGTTCAGCTAAGTGTCGTTTGCTTAAGAAAACCCCGTCGTTATTTGTTGACTTTTTTAGTTGAAAATTGTGTGCATCTTGCAGTGTCCGCAAAAGATACAGAGGGGTCGAAATCCGCATTCGTGGCATCAGCTAGTACTCTTGAGAAATGGTCATCCTTGACTGGTTTTTCAGAGCAAATCAAGGGCTTGTGATTTCTAATTTGCCGATATTTTTCCTCTCAACATGGCACTGTTACGGTTTCCTTCAATTTTTTCTTCTGTTTCACAATCGGGCTCGATGCGTGTGAAGAAATAAAGAAAGAAAATTTTTAATCTCAGTGATCCTTTTTCTGGGTGGATTCGAGATGCGATTGAAATAAGAGAATCGCATAACAGATGAGACGTCCTTTTTCATCCTAAACACATGGATAAATCATAACCTCATGACACGAACAGTATCGATGTACCGATGGGCTGATGTAATGGATGCTCAAAGAGTAGTGTTCGTGTTCTGTTGAGGAGAAAATGCCACGTATTTCATTAGAGGTTCCACATGCTCCTTCCTTCCTCGCGTCAATCATAAGTTTGTATGAGCCAGCATGTCCAGCGTGCTACCATGTCTCACCGATTAGAATCTATTCAACGAAAGGTTCTCCGTAGGAAGTGGCCACAAAGAGTGACTGGCTGTCCGAGAGAACAACTACTCACGCAGTCATCAATCCGTCGATACACGCTCACTTTCTTTCTACCTTGACAAAAGTCTCTAGAGTTCTATCCATCGTCGTAGAAACCAAGCTTGCGTCAAGACTAAATGATCATGAGATCACTGACAGTACTTAATGAATGATGTGATCGTAAACGAAATCTACAGCCAAGAGGATTGGGAGACCCCATCGAGCCGTAGATGGACGAAACCGAGGGAGTGAGATTGCTACTTATCAACCTTCATCTTCCATCTCTCAGTGCATTCCAGTTCTCAGACTTTCATTTGCATTTTCACGTCATCTGCACGTTTCTTTCACGCCCAGCTTGCTGTCGACTACGTCCAACTCCTATCGCACTAGGATGCATCGATGTGATTGTCAGCAGGCTGGATCGAAGTAGCTTACAATGTGTTGACAGGTGTATGTGTTTGGTCACTATTTTGCCACCCTCCAGATCACAAAGGAATGTTTTCAGCAGTCATGGGGTACTCTGAACACCTCATTTATTTTCTATCTGCCTTTTTAATATACAGTCATATTATAATCTCCATTGCTGATACGAAACGTGTCATACGTCAAGCAGTAATGCATAACCGCATTTCGAGTGCAGAATTGTTCCATAACCGACAGTGATCTTGTCTTACAGAACAGGCGAGAATGGACGACATCTCAAAGCCATTTTCTTCCGTCTTCGATAGTACATTTGATTTTTCGTTGACATCCGCTTGTGGACTTCGATCACTTACTGATGGAAGATACAGAACTGCACGACTCTATTGCAAGAGAAACATACAACCGAAAATTTATGAAAAAGCCATCGTTTATTGGTAAGAATGACTGCCAGAGCATTTAGCTTATGGATGTACATACATATGAATCTATCATCGAATGAGTGTTGACTTATCAGCAGGCCTCCCTATTTACGGGAAAATATTACTTGTACCGTAAATAACCGTAAATAAGATCCGGGTTATCCCGTAAATAAGGGCCTTAATAGAATGTTTTTTATTGGCGGCACCCTAATCTTTACGGGCGCTCTTGACTGTCTTCCCTCCTTCAACTCGCCCTCCCCACCTCCCTTCTCCTCGCACTCTGTCTCGAGCACGCCTTATTACCAGCTTCACACTCAACTCCCGTGCTCCCGCTATGCCGCGCGCGACGCTGCGTACGCCCTTCAACCCAGACCACCAAGTCAACTACGGACTTTCCATCGCAAGTCGGGACGCAGCCACGTCGGAGGTCGTTTCAGTCAATTGTCTCTTCTGTATTCACTTTGGCCGAGAGGACACAGACACGAGCACCGCCCAGGAAGAACGGAAGCGGTGCAGAACCGAAAATATCAAGTCTTTCACTAGGCCATTTCGAACCGACAATTACGTACAGCACTTTAGCCGCCAGCACAAGGCTCGCTGGGACCAATTCAATATCCTGGCCAGGGACCAGAAGGCCACCTTTTTCCAAAGAAATGCACCAGTCAGGCACAGGAACACCATTCCATCGCACTTCGCTGGCAACCAGACGACAATGCAGCTTTACATCAACAAAGCGATTGTTGACGTCATCATCGGGAACCTACTTCTCGACCAGGACGACGACGACGGGCTGCCGAACATGTGCAGGGAAAGAGCACTTAGAATCTTCGAAGATATCGATCCCAACACCGTTGAAGACCCTAGATTGGCCACTACCAAATATCGAATCGACATCTCGAATCCAAAGCAATTCAATCTGGTGGCGGGATTCCTCAGCATTGGAGTTTCCTTTCGCCAAGTAGAAGCTCTGGTTACCATGACGAAAGAAGTCACCGGCGTTGCGGAGATCGGCACTGCCAAAGATGAAAGGGTCGCTCAGTACGCTCGCTTTATTTTGGCGTTGAATCTGCAACATATCCACGACATCTTGGACAATAGCTCGGCATTCTCAATTGCGTTGGATATGTTCACTCACATGTCGACTTCTTACCTAGATATCTGCATTCGGCTCTTCTGGCATGGTGAGATCCTCAACTTGCACTTGATTGGGATTCCGGTTTTCTGCAGGCATACGGCAGCAAAAGTGTACCGCCACGCTTCGGCAATGCTGGATGTACTCTGCACTGAATGGAAGACTATGCTGATTTCAATCTCAACGGACGGCGAACCGCGAATGACCGGCCACATTGGCGGGGTGGCCACGCAATTTGAACAAGCAGCATTACCTAGCTTTTACCGCATCTGGTGTGATTTACATCAATTGGACTTGAAGTTGCGATCTTTCTACGAAGAATTGATGGACGAACAATTTGTGTCAATGCTAACGGCACTCATTGGATACCTGCGCCGTCAACAGAATCTGATTAACGATATGGGAACGAAATGTAGCACACTCGCAGAAACAATGTGGGAATCCATGTCAAAGGTCGCCAGCTAGTTCAAAACGCACCGTGTGGCCATTAGAGAGTACCTGGAGGCGAAGATCCCGTCATGCAAACCGCCGCATGAATGGTGTGTAGTCCTAATGTACGTCAAAGATGTGTCCGCAGCCGCCACCGCTACCTTCAAGCAACTTCAAAAGTATGACACTCTGGTCTCGCGGCAGCGCCAAGTCATCGCCAATCTACGGACTTGCTACAAAGACTATATCAAAGCAAACGGCCCATTAGCTTCTGGACAGCGTGAAGACATCGACATCGAGAGAGACGCTGTGCCCAGCAACGATTTGTACTCAGCTCGTGTCACAGATATGACCACGTTTCTGGAAGACATGGGTGGTTTTGTATCCGATCGCATGCAACATGCCGGGCAAGCCAGCATGGAAAACCTGGCAAGAAACTTGAGCATGGGCCTGTTGAATTTGATCGCTGGGCTGGACAAAGTCGTGGCCGAACGAAACTCCTTGAATGGCGTTTCCTTATACGTGTTGCCACCAGTGCTGCCGCACGAGCTGGTGACACTGAATGGACGTGACTTTACCGCTATTGTACGCGCACAACGTGAACGTCTTGCTGCTCGTTGGGCCCCTATTTCTGCAGAAGCGACAATGGACTACATTGAAACGGAATTCCGTGATCTCAAAAATGCTTACCGCAATGAAGAGCCCTTCCGTAATGCATTGGACGGGTGTACATACCAAACGCCCTTCAGCAAGGCCTGGAAACTCATAAGTGGTTGATTCAAGAAGCTGGAGATGTTTTGTGGTGGACTGGCAAGCACTTTTCCGAGAACGTCCTCTGTAGAGCGCGACTTCTCCATTCTAAAATGGGAAAAAGACATCCACCGGATGAGCTTGATAGACTTTTCCCTGGAAGACGTGATGCACGCAAGGCAGTTCAAGCTTCTGCAGAAACTTACGTTCTAAGCGAAGACAATGAATACAAACACGGTCCTTTGATACTCAGCTATCCCAACTGCTTTCGCTCTTCGTAGTAGTTTAATTAAGGACCTGTAAATAACCGTATCTAAGGTCGGACCTCGTCCCGTAAATAGCTTATTTACGGTATTTATGGAAGACCCGTAAATAGGTAGGCCTGCTTATCAGCCATGTCAAAAGAAAGTGGTGTCCTCAGATACAAGAATGATCTGACTTTACTTTCAATCTTCGGCTGAAAGCAAAACGAATCCCCTGACGAGCATGAGAAATCATCGAAGAATGTGTTCAGAATCTCCAGGGAATGCATTCACCAGGCAGGCAGGCAGGACTCGTGTCAACTATCGACATTTATCATCAGATGGTCGCTTGAGTTACAGCGTGAGCGGTTTGGTCGATGTGCTTCTCATCCACGGAGCGTTTGTAATTGAAGGAGTCCTTGTAGAGGATGAAGCTTTGCTCGATGATGGGATACGGAGTTGCTGTGTACAAGTGGAAAGTGGAGTGGCCCCGAGCGCCGCGGAAATCGCCCTCGCCACCGACAACAGAGATTTCACGGTCTCCGTGACCGATCTCCGTGCCCTGGACCTGAAGAGCTCGAAATTACTCGTTCTGATTCCATGCATAGATCATTGCAACGTGGGAGTGGCGGCGTGCTCTGCCTTGAATGAGAAGGATAGGCAATACCGAGACTTGGTTGAGCGTTACAAGTTCTTGGAGGACCAATTTGCGGAAATACGGAAGCAGCAGAAAGCAGCATTGAAGATCCAGGTTGACATGGCCGAGGCTGCGAAGAAGGAACTTGCTGAGTATCGTGCCAAGGATCAAGTGAGTCTTGAATTCGAGAGAACACAACGTCGTATGCTGTTGGAGAAGCTTGCGCGTGCGAGGAAGGCGTTGGAAGAGAAGGATGCCGCAATACAAGCGGACGACATCTTGTTGGAGAGGTTGCAGACACAATGTGAACACCTGAGATCACAGCGGGCGGCGGCGGAGGAGCTGTTGGCTGAAGAGGAAGATCGCAAGCGGTGCTTGATGGCACAGGCACGAACGGAATTAACTATCCGGGTCGGTCATTGCTTGCGGGGGTACGTTCAGTGAGAGGTTGCCGCTCTGGAGCGCATAGCGCTGAGGGGTTACGAGCTATGTGCGGCTGCTTTGATGGAGGGAGATGGGAGAAGCCGTCGTAGAGTAGCGAGGCGGCTGGAATCGTTCCTGTCCTGGTCACGAGACGTAATGGCAACTTTGGAGAAGGAG